GGTCCCTCCTGACCCCCCCACCTCCGACTAACCCCTCTGAGAACATGCTGCTCCCACTGACCGAGACTCCCCCCCCACCCATGGCAAACAGCTGCACCCACCGCGGACACTGACCCACCCCAGGACTTGCCTGGCCCTCACTAATGCCCCAGACCTAACCTAGCCCTACTCACATACCCCCCACGACTGACCCTCCCTTCTTCTGTCTCCATCCCTGTCTGCCTCTCCTGGGTATGTTTTATCCAGTCAGGAACATGGGTTGCAATACTTGGACACTCCCAAGTGCAGGATGGGGTGAGACAGGAGCCCTCAGGTGGCCAGGTAGAAAGCGGACACAGTCCCAACAGAGGGGGGACAGGGACAGAGTCCAAGGCACAGCACAGCACCTTGGGCTGGGTGGGTGAAGGAGTTTGTTACCAAGACTTGGAGAAGCAATTCCATCTGAGTAAGATTCAGGGTCTCACACGTGCAAAGGCCCTGAGCCAGACGGAGGTGGGGTGGGGGCACAGCAGCTACATGAGCTAGGAAAGGCTAGGGGTCAGGGCCATGATGCCCAGAGATCTGGAGGGGATGACTGGGCAGAGACAGGGTCAGAAAGCTGGAAGGAAGCAGGACCAGGTCTCTCGGACCTGTGAGGAAGGAAGAGATAGGAGACGGGAACAGGACCGGCCCAGAGTGTTGGCACACACCTGCAACCCTAGTGTTCCGATGCTGAGGCGGGGGCGTTGTGAGATTGGGGTTGCTTGTTTCCTAGGAAGAGGTAGCTAGTACACTGCCTGCCTTGAAGAGGAGGGCACTTTTTTGGCAGGCCTATGTCTGGAAACTTCTTCTCTTAGATCCAAGGTGCTGGGATTGTGGGTGTGAACCACCACACCAGCTTCAGCAGACCTGGTGTGGTGGTCTGAGGTGACATGAGCCCAGAAAAGGGCCAGTCAGGCAGGCGGAGCAAGTGGACAGGTCCAGCATGCTGACAGGGCTGGTGAAAAAACAGAGAAAGCTGGGGTGTGGCTCAGCGGTGGAGCCTCTGCCTAGGATCTCCCAGTGAGGGGCGGGGGTGAGGCTCAGTGGAAGAGCCCCTGCCTAGAATCCCCCAGTGAGGGGCTGGGGTGTGGCTCAGCGGTAAAGCCCCTGCTGAGGATCCCCCAGTGAGGGGCTGGGGTATGGCTCAGTGGTGGAGCCCCTGCCTAGGATCCCCCAGTGAGGGGCTGGGGTGTGGCTCAGTGGTGGAGCCCCTGCCTAGGATCCCCCAGTGAGGGGCTGGGGTGTGGCTCAGTGGTGGAGCCCCTGCCTAGGAGCCCCCAGTGAGGGGCTGGGGTGTGGCTCAGTGGAAGAGCCCCTGCCTAGAATCCCCCAGTGAGGGGCTGGGGTGTAGCTCAGCGGTAGAGCCCCTGCCTAGGATCTCCCAGTGAGGGGCTGGGGTGTGGCTCAGTGGTAGAGCCCCTGCCTAGGATCCCCAGTGAGGGGCTGGGGTGTGGTTCAGTGGTAGAGCCTGATGGAATCCCTGCATTCCACAGACATCCAGGAAGGCCCACTGAAAGGAGACAAGGATGAGTCCCGAGGCCATGGGCCCTCAGCCTGGGCCCCATGTGCCTCTCTCCCCTCCACTCCCTGAACCTTTCTCCATCACCTCCATATCCATCTCATCACCCCTACCCCTTCCTCCCATCTCTCCCCTCTCTGCTTGAACCTAGACCTCTCCTCCTCACCCTAGGATGAGGGGACCCTGGGTGGGTTGGAGGGGGTTGGGGAGGACTGGAGATCCCAGAGGGGCAGATGAGGCCTTCGCTTTTCTTGCCAAAATCCATTCACTGAACTCAAATGATGGCTGGAGCTGATGGGCTGACCAAGTTCTCAGCCCCAGTGTACCCAACAGTCCTGCCTGCCCCCGCTCCCCTTTCTTTCTGCCCCAAGCCCTTCCATCCTTCTTGGCCTGTCCGCTGACTCAACATCACTCTTCTGGCTCCCAAGCCTTCCCATTCCTCCCACCTCCCCCATCTGTCCTCCCCCTCCCCTGGTCACCCCAGAAGCTCCATCCATATTTGATGTCTCTGGCTGCCCCCATTTCACTGCTATCATCAACCCCCCGGAAAACACCAGAGAGGAGGAGGAAGAGATCGCGGCGTTTCTCCGTTCCCCCAACAGTGAGCCTGTGTTGGGGTGTCCCCCCCATCTGCCTCCCGTCCCCCTCCATGACTCTCTGTATTTCTGTCCCCAGCTCTTGTCACCGCCTGAGACCTCGTGAGACCCTCGGGTCCCCCCTGTCCCTTCCCCCAGGTTAGCAAACTGGGAATGGTGGGAGGGTGTGTCCCCAAGATTCCGGGCTCCATTCCCCCAGGCCCCCTCTCTCCTTCAGTCAGAGTCTCACCTCCCAGTGGCTCCTGGTGCTGTTTAGAAAAGCTATCAAAGTCCCCCAGTGCTGGCAGAGCCCAGAAAACCACCCACCCACCCCTGCCTGTCCCCACGGGGGGGGGTCCCACGGGCCAGTGATCTTCTTGCTCACTGGCACCTGCCGACCTCATCCAGTTTTTGGAACCCTCCACACCTGTCTCACAACCTTGCCATCCCTGGACATTGGATTCTTGAGGGATGATGGCTAGGTTGAATGTGATGGGTCACACTTGTCATTTCAGCTAATAGGAGGCTGAGTGAGGCAGGAGGATTGCCACTGGTTCAAGGCTACCTACTTACTGAGTTTTGGGTGAGCCTGAGCTACACAGTGAGTTTGAAGCCAGCCTGGGTAACAGAGTGAATTCCAGGCCAGCCTGGCTACATAGTGAGTTTGAGACCAGCTAGGATACATAATTCCTTTGAGGCCAGCCTGGACAACACAGTGAACTCCAATTACAAGTCCCAGGGAGTCTGTCCCCACCCACCCCATCCCTGCACTGAGTCTCCAGTGCCCGTGCCCAGCCCCCTTCACCAGCTACTGCCTCCACTCCAGCCCTCCCCACGCCCTGCTGCCCACCTACCATCCCACCTCGCTGCCAGCTGCCTTTGGGCCTCAGAACCAGGGACCTTTGAGGGAGGTTTGGGGAGGGGTTGGAGGAGCCAACCTGCTGGGCAGGCCTGGGGGGGAGGCTTGGTGGGTGCTACCCACCTCCTAATCCTGTCTCCCCCTCCTCCCCATGTGTGAACCTCTCTCGTGGACACTGACTGACGCTTGAATTCTTCACCCCTCTCTCCATCTCCTCCACCCATCTGTCTGTCCGTCTCTGTGTCTGTCTGTGGGTGTCTCCTGCCCTCTCCATCCTCTCTGTCTCTCGGTCTCCCTGATCCGGGTCTCTTGTCCTGACCCCGCCGGTCCCCATGCCTCCCTCCTGCCCCTTGTCTCTGCCCTCCTCCTCCCTCCCAGGTTACGAGAAGTCTCGGAGCCTGAGCAGCATCGCGGGCCTGAGCGGGGTGTCCCTGCGCCTGGCGCCCCTTGCCACCCCCCCTGGCTCGCCCCGGGCCACCCGCCGAGCTCCCCCCACCCTGCCCTCTATCCTTTAGCGCTCCCCTCCCCCCTGTGGGGGGACTCGGGGGTGATGGGACGGTGAAAAGGAGCTGGGGTGGGGGTGGGGGAAAGGGTTCTTTTTCTAAAAAACAAAGTCAAAAAGTCATTACTAATATGCAAAAGAGATGGCGACGCCAGCAGACACCCCTGGACCCCTCACCCCCCCACGGGCCCCCATGATAAAGGGGGAGGGGCCAGAGCCTGCCCCCCCAAACTTCCTCCCCCTTCAAAACAAAACAAAACAAAACAAACAAACAAAAAAAAACCTCAGGTCTCCGTGAGCCATAGGACACCCCTATCCATCGACTCCTGTAAATAATGCCACTTAATGCCAATTCCATCTTGGGGCACCCCCACCCCCCAGTTTGCATGCCTCCTCGGACCCCCTCCTCAGCAATAAGTGCTGCTCGCAGAGTTGGAGGGGAGGATGCTAGGAGCTTCAGGGTTCAGGACTGACCATTTAGGGGGTCTCCTAGTTTCCTGATCACTCTCAGGTGGGCGACCCCACCCATCAGTAATTGATTCAGAAAAAAAAAAAAATAACCCACAAAACAAAAACCTCCAGGAGCAGGTAGGGGAGGTAAGACCAGTTAGCCCAGCCACAGCACTGCGCCGAGCTCAGCCAGGGGAGGCATGGGTGCGCGGGGGGGGGGGGGGCTCCGCCGGCTGCTCCCCAGGCCTGGAGGACGCCGGCTGGTGAATCCACCCCCACCCGCCTCCAGATCTGCTTCCTCGATTCCCAATGCATGGATCGGCCCTCCAGTCCCAGAACCCGCCGCTCCCTCCTCCATTCCCAGGACTAGAGGCCTGCACCCTAGTCTTCCTGAGATGGGCCCTGGCACGCTGCACTCCCATTCCCATCACCACCACCCCACTGGCCTGGATGCACCGCAGCCTTCTTTCACACACCTTCCCAGAGCCTTGTCTGCCCCTCAACTCACCTCCAGCCTCCGGGATGCTTGCTCCTAGTGCTCATGGCCCCCGGCATCGCCCGGACACCCCAAACCTCGAAGCCTGCCTCCCCGACGGCCCCAAGCCCCAGACATTATGCCCCCAGCACCTCCGACGCTACACCTTTCGGGGTGGGCTTAGTCTGCCTGTAATTCCAGGAGGATTTGCTTTCTGGGCGGCTGCCCCCCCACCTCCCCAAAACCTCTTTCCCCAAGATGGTGCCAAAACACACCCTCTTCGCCCTCCACCACCCCGTGTTTCCCAGAGTTGGGACTCCTGTTCCCTCGTGTGCTCGTTTGCTGCGTGCACGGAGGAAACGTGTTAAACTTCTGTTTCCTGCACCGAGGCATGGCTGTGTCAAGTGCTGCCCAATTCGAAGCAAACCCAGGCCTGGGAATGTAGCTCAGTGGTACAGCGCTTGCCTCCCACGTGCAAAGGTCCTGGGTTCCATCTCCATCAACACCCCCCTCCTTCCCCAAAGTCCCAAAGTGATCATAGAAGAGGATGTGGCGTGGTGGGGGACGAGGATTCGCCCACCTCGGCTGGGCGCCCCAGCCTGCCCTTCCCAGTGTGCGTGGTGCACCACGTACCACCTTCGCGAGTGGAAAACTATTTCTCAAATCCCATCTCGCTCCAAGATGCTACCTCCCCCAAGCCCAGAGACCACACTGGTCCCAGAATCCTGTGCGAACCCCGCTTTTGGAGCTAGGGGGTTCGCAGAATTAGCACTCTCTCCCTGGTTCCCACAGCCTCAGGGAACGCTCCGCTGCCACCCAAGGGTGGGTGGGGGCGACCCTGGGCCCAATTCTTAATGCAATGATTCCTATGCAAGGGGCATTTTGAGTCCCCCCCCCACCCTCCTTCCCTTGGGACCCGAAACCCTGGTGAATCAGGGATTGAGGGATGGGGTGGGTTGTGGGGGGACCGGGCAAAGGGCTAAGGAACTCCAGACACCAGGGTAGGGTGGTGACTCGTAATATTGCCAAAGGGTTCGACTTTAAACAGCCCCCATTCCTCTCCCCATGTCCCTCACAACAGCCGAATGGGGCAGGGGAAAAGGAGAGGGTCTTTTCCCAAGGGTACTGACCACTTCCCACCGTCTGCCCCTGCTCGTCAGCACACCACACCTATCCAGCGTTTTAGTTAAGCTTTAAAGAAAAAGAAAAACCGCCACCCTCATTATTAATGTCTACAAAACGTGATTTTCGTCCCCTCCGTCCGCATCGTCCAATTTACCAAACTGTGGGACTCGGAGAGGGAGAGCGCGCTCAATGGACTCTTTCCAAGTCCTGCCTGCCCTCCCTTTTCCCTACGGCCGCCAGGGTGCCTGCAACTGCACGCATGCGCTGCATGACGCGCGCGCGCGCGCACACACACACACACACACACACACACACACACACACACACACACACACACACACACACGCGCGCGCGCGCGTCGCGCGCCCCTCCTGCGCTCCCGGAACGCACGGACACGGGGCTGGGGGCGGGGCGATTGGGGAGGTTTGATTGGAGTGGGGAAGCAGGGGCTCCCCCGACTCCCCCAACATACCTACAGCAATAAGTTCCACGTCCAGTGGGCTGGCGGTCCTGGCCTGGCGCGGGAGGGGCGTGGCCGAGGGGGCGCTCTCAGGGATGGGGGCGGGGCCGGAGTCTGGGGGAGGGGAGGTCTGCTAATCGTCCAACTCTGGTGCTAACAGCGGGTCCTCCTGGCCTACCCGCAGGGAGGAAGGGAGGGGTCGGCAGGCTCCTCCCCCGAGTCTCCCCCACGCCCACCCAGGGTGCATGAACCGCCCACGCAGACGCTGCATGCCACCCTACACCCCAAAGAAACAGTGTCCTGCCCCTTCTCGCCCTCCCATCCTCAGCCCAATAAACGTTTCCTTTTCATTTAAATATGGCCTCCCTGATTGGGGCTGGGGGTGCACAGAGGGAGGGGGGCAAGCTGAGCTGGGTGGCCCAGGCCTGTCATCCCATCTACTAAGGAGGCTGAGGCAGGAGGATCCAGAGTTGTAGGCTAGCCTAGTGAGGAGTAAGATCCTGAGTGAACACTCAGAGAAAAGAGGACTGAGATCCCCCAGTGAGGGGCTGGGGTGTGGCTCAGGGGTAGAGCCCCTGCTTAGAATCCCCCAGTGAGGGGCTGGGGTGTGGCTCAGTGGTAGAGCCCCTACCTAGCATGAAGGGGCCCTGGGTACAATTTCCAGCACCACACACACATACAACACACACACAACACACACACACATTATTAAAATGGTGCAAGGGTGCCTGGGGATCTGGCTAAATTGGTAAAGTGCTTGCTTGTGTTCAGTCCCCAGAACCCACCTAAAAGCTGGCCCTGGCCATGTGTGTCTGTAACCACAGAGGGGTGGAGGACAGCAGAAGTGGACCTTGGGGCATGGAGGCCAGCTAACCTAGTCAAATCAGTGAGTTCCAGGTTCAGTGAGAGGCCCTGTCTCAAAAACTAAGGAAGAGAAAGTTGGAGAGATGTCTCTGTGCTTAGGAGCATTTGGTGCTCTTGCAGAGGGCCCAAGTTCAGTTCCCAGTGCGTCTACTGGGTGGCTCACCACCAGAAACTCCAGCTCTAGGGGATCTGATGCCCTCTTCTGGCCTCTGCAGGCACTGTACTCATATGCACATACCACATGCAGACAAATGTTGAAGCTTCAGACTGCATGGGGCAACAATCCTTTGACATCCTTTGATATGTGGGACGTTACCTGCCTGTTTCCATGGAGACAAATGAACACCAGCATTCTCATCTCAAATATGAGTTTGTTGAACTGAGCCTTAGAATTGGGGGCTTAGAGGGAATGGTGGACTCCGTCCTGGGGGGTGTCAAATTAGGGGCTTAGAAGGAATGGTGGCCTCCATCCTGGGGGCGTCAAATTAGGGGCTTAGAGGGAATGGTGGCCTCCATCCTGGGGGGGTCAAATTAGGGGCTTAGAGGGAATGGTGGCCTCCGTCCTGGGGGGGATCAAATTAGGGGCTTAGAGGGAATGGTGGCCTCTGTCCTGGGGGTGCTAGATAGGGGAATTGTGGGCCTGACTTCTTGTGTTACTGACCCTGAAGCCAGAGTGTCTTGAGGTTTGGATCCTGGTTCATTGTCTTCCTGTGTGTACTGAGGCTGACTCAGCCTCTCTAAGCCTGTTTCTACCATTCTGAAAGGGCAGGGAAAGATGTGGCTTATTCACTCAACAAACAGTGGTGCCAAGGGTGGAGACAACAGCTTGTTCAGCATATGGTGGGTCACTTTGACTTTCTATTGTCCAATAAATGCCTCCCACATTATTGCAGTTCACAGACTGCCCCCCACACCAATCAAGAGCACAGCCATAGCTGAGGGTCCAGCTGGGGGTAAGGTTTATTTTTGCAGTGCCTGGAACACGAGGGACCTGAACTCCACTCTGGTTACACACCCTACAGAAAGGAGGGCGGAGCACTGGGAGGAGATGTCCATGCACTGCTTGCCCTCTGGAGGTGTCAGCTTGCTGAAGGCTGAGCTGACAGGCTCCCTTGCCAGTCACATCCCTTCTGAATCCTAACAGGAGGCCCATCTTCGCCTCCCTGCTGCCCAGCTCCTTGGTTTGAGGTCCCCTGCGGGTCCGGGCAGGGAAAGTGCTAAAGGCAGCATCATTTCAAATTATAAGCCAGAGAGGAGGGTCTCTGGGATGGGCCCTCCGTCAGGCCCTATCTTGTGGCTTCTGAGACATCCTGGGTCACTGGGATGTGGCAGGGGGAGGAGCCTCAGGCTCTGGGGTTGGTGCAGACCCAGACTGTGCCTCCTCCCCCTCCTCATCGGAAGCCACACCCTCCTCCAGCCTGAACACCTGCCGAACTGTGCGAGTGGTGAAGGTGAGTGGGCCACGCCTGTGGGAACAGAGGGAGGAGAGGGCTCAGTGAGAGGAGGGGTGAGGACAGGGAGATGGGGACAGGAAGATGGAGACAGAGATGGGATAAGAGATGGAGACAGAGATGGGGACAGAGATGTGGTAAGAGCTAGAGACAGAGATGGGGTAAGAGATAGAGACAGAGATGGGGCAAGAGATGGAGACAGAGATGGAGAGACAGAGATGGGGTAAGAGATGGAGACAGAGATGGGAACAGAGACAGGGACAGAGATGGGGTAAGAGACGGGGACAGAGACAGAGACAGGGACAGAGATGGGGTAAGAGATGGAGACAGAGATGGAGACAGACAGGGTAAGAGACGGGGACAGAGATGGAGACAGAGATGGGGTAAGAGATGGAGACAGAGACGGGGACTGAGACGGAGACAGAGAGATGGGAAGCAAGATCTAGGGCTAGCAAAAGGGCAACCAGGTGCACAGGGCCCCAGAGTGAGGCTAAGAGGATAGGGAGGCCACAGCCTCCTCTCCACCCTGGGTCCCCACCCTACGCCTGCTCCAGCCAGGCCCAGCTCTCTGCTCCCAGTCTCTGCCCACATGTGGATGGCATACCGGAGCCTGTTCCTCAGTGTGGTCACCTCCCGGTTCATGGACTCTGCAGACTCGGTGACATCCTCCAGCTCCCGCTGTAGCCGCCTCCGGCCAGCCTGTGCCCGGGATGCCTCCTCCTCCGCCTCCTCCAGCTGCCTCTTGAGCTGTTTCAGCCGGAGGTTACCCTTCTCCAGCTGGGGGAAGTGGGAGACCAGGTCATTTCCTGGGTGAGGCTCCCCCTGAAGCCTCCGATCCCTATTGTCACATATCCTGAACCACTGTCAGCTTCCACCCCTGCCTCAGTCTCCCCTGTGGCTGGCTGCTCTAGCTGTGACCACCCACACAGAGAACTTCACCCAGTCATGGGACTGAAATACACAAAGGACACCCCAGTGTGTGGTGGGAGTGATGGGGCTGTTAGTCTTCCCAGTCACCTGCACTCCTGTAACTGAGCCCAATAAACTCACTGTCTCAATGGCTTTCCTTGGTGGAGTCAGTTCTTGGGCCTGTCAGTGCCCTGGCGGGCAGTGAACACATGGCTCTTTGGGCAGTCACACCGTACACTCAGTGTCACCTCTCTCTGTTCACAGCCCCTGCTAAGCTCCCCAGGATTGCTGGACAAGGGGCCAGCCCTTCAGGCCGATTCTCCAGGGCCTGACCAGTCTTCTTAATGTCTGTCTCCTGATGAGCCCACGGACCACATTAACCTCACCCTGATCTCCCCAGACACTGCTACAGCTCTGCATGCTGGGAACACATGTCTGACTCCATTGGTGTTTTTGAGACAGTCCCTCATGGAGCTTAGGCTGTCTTGACCTCACTAAGTAATCAACGATGATTTTGAGCTTCTGATCCTCCTGCCTTGCCCTCCCAAGTACTGGAATGACAGGTGTGGACAGGTTCATGCAGAACCGTGGATGGAGCCCTGAGCCTTGAGCATGCCAGGTGGGCACTCTACCAACTGAGCCCTCACCCCAGCTCCAGTTTCATCATTTATGTTCCTCTCTCTAGCTATATATTTATTTTATTCACTTCAGTTCCCCAGGGCCTTTGTACCTGCTGGTCCCTCTGTCTGACCCTTCCTCCCTCACCAGGTCTGTATTAAAATGTCTCCTCCTCAGAGAATCTGCTCCAGTCCCCCAATCTGGAAAGAAAGCTGTGTCTTTTTTTTCATTCTTTTTTCTCCCTCCATTGCCTTCACCACAGTCTGGCATTATCTTTCCTTATTCAAATGCTTATTACATCACATCCTAGGCTAGCAACAGGAGCCTCATAGGGCCAGGGCCTTCTGGAACCTTCCCACACCCTATTTATAATGCCTAGCGATGTGCCTCAGGAAGTTCATGTTTAACAGCTATTTATGCAATGAACACTAAACAAGGCTTAGCTAAGTTTTTTTCTTTTCTTTTTTTCATAGCTGAGCTTTTAAGGGCACAGTAAACGGTGACTGGGGCACAGAGGAGCTTTTAAGTGCACAAGGATTCCATCAAGGCACAGGCCTGGACTCTCACATATGGACTATGAGACATTTTTGTTCTTGTTGGTTTGAGACAGGGCCTCTCTCTGTAGCAAGGTGGCCCTGGAACTCACTACGTGGCCCAGGATGGCCTTGAAATCAGAGCCATTATCCTGCCCGGGCTGACACCACAGCTGGGACTCCAGTGCTACATGTAGGCAGAGCTGTGTTGTTTCCTGGTTTTAAGCCTCACTGGCCACTGTTCCAGGGGGATGTCATGGGCTCACCTGGTCCCGTAGCTGGTCAGCCACCCTGCGTTCTTCCTCCACCTGGAGAACCACCTCCTTCAGCCGCTTCTCAGCTCTTCTCACCAGCTTGCCCGAAAGCATGCGCTCTCTACAGAGAAGAGGAGAAGACTCAGGGAGGTGCCCTGTCCCCCGGGTGTTGGGGGCCTTTGTTGTGTAAAGTAGAAGTTTCTTCATGTCCAGATAGCTCACGAGCTCGAAGCCATATGCAGAGACTCCTTTCACAGCAGGGTGCCTTCCTGGCATTTTTCCTGACTCCTTTGTGAAGTAGCAGCCACATAAACATGGCCTCTGGCTCTGGAAATGCCATGCTTTCCTGTGTGATTTTCAGGCAGTCTGGCAGCATGGCAGGAGCCCACTTCCATATGTAAATAGGGTATCTCACAAAGTGCCTATCAGTTAAAGCTTTTAGCACTGCCCCTACAGTATAAAATATCCTAGTTTTCCCTCAATAATTTGGAGCTGGAAGCGGAGCTGGAGCTAGAGCAGGAACTGGGTCACTGAGACTTGGAGAATAAAGAGCTGTACCACTGAATCTGACTGGACTGAGTCCTGTGTCTCCTGCCTGCAATCTAGTCTCCCCGGGGGGCAGCATTCCTCCATCATCGACTCACGAACACCCAGCTTCAGCCACCCCGTACTTTCCCGCGTGGTCCAGCGGCCGTGGAACTCGCATATTGAGGAAAGTGCACGGGTGAAATCAGGGCGGGACTCGGCTGGGCAAAGCCTCAGCAGCAGCAGGCTTTCAGCACCGCAGCGGCGGACAGCGACGCGTGCCTGAGAACAGAGAAGCCAATCCCCGCGGAACTCGCTGTCTTCCAGGGCGCGCGCAGGGGACTGATCCCCGCTGGACCGCGCGCCCCATACCCGGGCGTGGCTGGTGGCTGTTTCCCAGACACTGGTACCAGGCCTCCTTCTGCAAAGTCTGAAACCTTGATTTCCTAATCATCCTAACATTGTCTCCCGTGACATTGATTTCTGTTTCGTTTTGCTTTGTTTTTTGTTTGTTCTTTATAGAGACAGGGTCTCCCTGTAGCCCCAGCTGATCTAGAACTCACTATGTAGACCAGGCTGACTTCGAACTCACAGAGATCCACCTGCCTCTGCCTCCTAAGGGCTCCGATTAAAGGTGTGTGCCACCAAGGCCAGCCATAACATTGACAGTTTTGAGACAGGCTCTCACATAGCCCAGGTTGGCCTCTAACTGGCTACATAGCCAAGGATGACCTCGAACCCCTCATCCTCCCACCTCCACTTCCCAAGTGCTGGGATCACAGGCATGTGCCACCACACTCATTTTATGCAGTGTTAGGGACTGAACCCGAAGATCAGTGCATGCTAGGTAAGCACTGTACTGACTGATCCACCCCTCTAGCCCCAATCTGCCTTTCAATGTATAACAATACTTGTCCACTCCTGGCCAAGGTAGAGACACTGAACTGAAAACCTGGCCTCTTAGGTAGGCAGACCATCTATTCCTGTTTCCTATATATCAGATAATGACCATGGGACATCACACCTGTGCAGACAGGAAGCCTAGCATCAGTAGATGCAGACTATTGATATTTCTGATCCTGTGGTTGCTCAACTGTGTGATTACCAGGAATGCCTTCTACACTGAAAGAACCTCAGATATCAGGCTGTGTGGAGCAAACATGTTGCTAGTATCATTAGCATGGTTCGCTACCGCTGTTACACGCATTTTTTTTTTTTTTGTCTTTTTGAGACAGGGCCTCCCTGTAACCCCAGCTGGCCTGGAACTCACTATGTAGACCAGGCTGGCCTCAAACTCACAGAGATCTGCCTGCCTCTGCCTCCCAAGTACTGTGGGATTAAAGGCTGTGCCACCACACCTTACTGGCCCTCTTTTTAAAATTTTAATCTTTTTGTGTGTGATTATTTTTTACTTTGGTTTGATGGTCAGTTAAATGTCAACTTGACGCAATCTGGAATCATCTGGGAAGACTCCCTGTGATGGACTGTCTAGATCAGTCAGCATGTCTGTGGGGGATGGTCTTGATTATGGTAATTGATGTGGGGAGACCCAGCCCACAGAGGGTGGCGCCACCCCCTGGTTTGGGGTCCTGGACTTTGTAGGCGTGGTGGGCTGTCTCCCTCTGTTCTTCACTGTGGTCGTGACCAACAGCTCCAAGTTCCTGCCTTTGATTGCCCTCCGTGACAGACTATGGCCTCAAGTTCTGAGCTGAAGGAACCCTTTCCCCTTAAAGTAGGCTTTGTTGGTATTTTATCATAGCCCCAGGAAACAAACCTAGGACAGCATGTGTGTATTCATGTGTGCATGTTCATGTGTGTGTGTGAGACTGTGGGCCCTTGGTTTCCACCATGTGTGCAGTCAGAGGACAGCCTTGGGTGTCAGCCCTTGCTCTCCATCTTGCTTGAGATTGGGCCTCGTTGTACATAAGGCTAGCTGGTCCACAAACCTTGGGGATCCTCCTGTCTCTGCCTCCCACCTTGCTGTAGGAGAGCTGGGATTACAGACATATGTGACAGTGTCCAAAGATCTGAGTTTAAGATCAGCAAAACCATGTTGCTGACCCTCAGAAGAGCAAAGAAACAGGAATGAGGCTGACCAGCCCAGCACAAGAGAACTTACCAGCCAGGCCCAAACCCCTCAGCAATAATAAGCTTATTGTTTTAAAGTCACTAAATTTTAGAGTGTTTTGTTACACAGCTGTAGTTAGCTGCTACACTGTTGTATAAATTTACCAGTTACTTCCAGGCCAAAGCATCCTGCTTGACTGACCTGCTCTCCTGCTCTAGTTGTTCCTCTGCCTGGGCCAGCTTAGACTCAAGAGCAGCGATCACCATCTTCTGGCGGGCACGTGCCCCAGCGTCCTCCTCGCCGAGGCGTCCCCGAAGCTCCTGGATCTGCTTTTCCAGCTGCTGACGCCCACTCTCAGCCTTGGCTGAGAAGCTGCGTTCAGCAGACAGCTCTGTGGTGAGGGACTCTACCTGCAGCAGGTGGGGAGATGGGAGATCATGATGGAGCCTCGGAAGGACACTGGTGGCAACGCTAGATACCTCTGGGGATGAGTTGAGCCAGTGACTGTTACATGCACAGCACAGAGCCCAGTAGTACTGAGCATTCAGCACTTCAAGAAACCCAGGAAAAACAATCTACAGTAAATGGCAGCTTGTAATCTTTAAATATATTCAGAATTATTCAAATTTGTCTAAAATAAAAAAATTTTGATTTTTATTTTATGTGTATGAGTGTATTGCCTGCATGTATGTGAGTGCACCCATGTTGTGTAATGCCCATGGAGGTCAGAAGAGGGCATCAGATCTCCTGGAACTGGAGTTACAGATGGTTATTAGCCCCCATTTGGGTGCTGGGGACTGAACCCGGGTCCTTTGCTCTTAACCACTGAGCCATCTCTCTAGTCCTCAGCCAGCCCTTAAAAAGTTTTGAGACAGGCCAGACACAAAGGCACAGGCCTTTAATCCCACCACTCACAAGGCAGAGGCAGGAAGATCTCTGCAAGATCAGGGCCAGCCTGGCCTACATAGTGAATTAAGGCCAGCTGGGTCTACAGAGAGACCCTGTCTCAACAAACACAGACAAATAAACAACAAAATTTTGAGACAGGATCTCTATGAACTCAGTCTAGGCTGGCCTAGCTCTTAGAATTATCCTGACTTACTCTCCCAAGTAGCTAGGATGACAGATGTGGACCACCATGCTATTTTATGTTTGTTTTGAGACAAGGTATCCTTGTAGCCCAGGCTAGCCTTGAACTCCCTATGCACTAGAAACTGACCTTGAGGGCTGACGCTCCTGTCTCTACCTCCCAAGTCCTGGGATCTACAGGTGTTGCCTGCCACCACAGACTGGCTGGGCTTTGCTATTTCAGTGAGTCTGAGAGATTGTCACAAACATATTTAAATGCCCTAAATTCTAAGGCTGTGAAGGAGGCTATTTCAGGTGTCCTTCTTTCCTCTGTACTCAGGTCACCTGGGCAGCTGATGAGAAGCAGGTGGGCTTCGGCCCCTCCTACCAGAGACACTGACCAGGTGGGTCTGAAGAGCGGCCCAGGTATCTGTATTCAGAACAGAGATTTTGTGCGGTCAACTGAGGAACACGGCCTCCACACAGATGTGTAGACGGGGCCCTAATAACACCTTTGACTCCCTCAGCCTGGACAACGCAGGGCAGTAGAAGCAAGTCTGTCCTTGACTCGAGCTTCTCACACCTCACTCCCTTTCACCCTTTGGAATTCTATTGTAAAATAAAATAGTGACGGGGCTGGGGCTCAGTTGGTAGAGTGCTTGCCCAACATTCATGAATCCCTGGGTTACATCCATAGCACTGTGTGAACCAAGCATTGTGGTGCACACCTGTCATCCCAGCACTCAAGAGGTGGAGGCCGAGGAGGATCAAGAATTCAAGGTTGTCATTGGTCACATAGAGAGTCCAAGGTCAGCCTGGGCTACATGAGATTGCCTCAAAAAGCAAACGGGCCAGGCTGCAGAGATGGCTCAGCAGTTAAGAGCACTAGCTGCTCTTGCAGAGGACTTAGATTTGGTTCCCAGTATACACATGGTCTGTCACTCCAGTTCCAAACACCCTCTTCTGACCGCTGCAGGTACTGCACACATATGGTCCACAGACATACACACATATACATAAAATGAAATAGATCTTTGTAAAAACCCAAACAGGGCTGGACACAGCAGTGCATGCCTTTAATCCCAACACTCAGGAGGCAGAGGCAGGTGGATCTCTTTGAAATCAAGACCAGTCTAGTCTACATAGCAAGTTCCAGGCCAGCTGGGACTACAGGGAGACCTTGTCTCAAAAACAAACAAAATAAATAAACAAATAAAATAAAATAATAAACCAAACAGGAAAAAAGTGACATTTAACGCCAAACAATGCACATGGTGGTACACATCTGTGATTCCAGCACTCAGGAGGCTATGACAGGGGAATGCTGTGACCTCAAGGCTGGTTTGAGGTTACTGCGGGGGGGTTGATCCTGCCTGACACCCAACAGCTGGTCCCCACCACCCCACCACCTTCACCTGCAGTGAAGTCTTTTTGCCTGTGCTAGTAGTGACCTAAGTGTTTGCATTTTATTGGTGTATGAAGTCACCTGCTTACTGTAGTGTTTGTCTTTCAAGACAGGGTCTCGCTCTGTAGCCCCAGCTGGCCTTGAACCCACAGCAACCCTCCTGCCTCAGTCCTCCCAAGTGCTGGGATAACAACTTACAAGGTGTGTGTGCCCCGAAGGAAAGACACTTTAATTCATATTTGAAGCCACGATTCCCAAGTCACAGATGGATTAGTCATGCCTCTAGCCTATGAACTCATCCTCAACTCTCAAACCGGGTCTCAAATTCTCAGATGTCCCTTTCTATTTGTTGAGTGCTGAAGGCAGGTGGTCTGGCTGGTGGAGGTGGCCATGCCTACCTGAAGCAGAAGTTTTCGGTATCTGTCATTGAGCAGCTCCGCGTTGCTCTGCTCCTCCTCCAGCTCCTCTTCCATCTGCCCCAGGCGGCCCTCCAGCTGCCGTTTCTCCTCCAGGATGGCAGCCCTGGAGGGAGGGGAAGGGTGAGCTTGGAGGGCAGGCGGACCCAAGGAGGACGCCGGCCAGCGCTATGGGACACTCACTTGCTGAGATTGCCGTTGGCCACCTCGTCTGCCATCTCCTCCCGGTCTTGCTGGGCCTGCCGTCGGGCACGGTCTGAGGCGGCTAGTTCCTGTGGGGGCAGGGGCAGGGCAAGGGAGGTGAGTGGGTGTCCAGGACACTGGGGTCATCCTTTCTCTGTTCTCCTTTGGGCCGGCTGCCTCCACCTCTCCTGGCCTGCCCTTCTCCTGAGCTTGGACCCTGGCAGCCCTGCTCCTCCACCAGGTCCCCTGTCAATCGGCCTCCTCCTGCCCCCAGGCCATCCACTGCCCCTGCCTTCTGCCCCCTCCTCTGTATCACCCCTCGCCCCCAGGCCTCATCCTTTCCTTAGTCCCTAGGACAGCGCCTCACAGTTCCTGAATCCTCCCAGGGCTCGCTAAGGCCCTCTGGACAGGAGCCTGGCTCAGGCTGACACAAGGCACAGGTGGCTACTGCCAAAGCCTCCCACCCAAGGCCTCCTTACACACTCCTCTTCCCTGCCCAGGGCCTAAGACCTCCCTAAGGCCCTACCCATCTCCCTACCCGTCCACCCATCTCCCCTCCAGGGGCCTGGACTCAGCCCCGCCCACTCTCCCTCCAACCTCATGGCCTTGCTAGGTTATGCCCACCCTCAACACCCCGCTTTGCTCAGACCCCTCCCCTCCCCTCTTCGGTGCTCACTCCTCCCCCTCCCCTCCCAGCACTCAGCCCCGCCCCTCTCCTCCCAGCGCTCAGCCCCGCCCCTCCCCTCTCTGCACTCAGCCCCGCCCCTCCTCTCTCTGCTCTCAGCCCCGCCCCTCCCCTTTCTGCGCTCAGCCCCGCCCTTCCCCTCCCTGCCCAGCCTCACCTCCTGCAGCCTCAGCACCTCCTCTTCCAGCCCCTTGAGGCGCTTCTCACTCTCCTTGTTTAGGGAAAAGATCTCCTCCCTCGAGGTGCGGGTTTCCTCCACCTCCCGCCACAGTTCCTTCATCTGGACCTGCGCAGAAGCAGCAGTGAGTGCTCAGCTTGTAGAGCCTAACCAGGGACCCTCCCTTGCACCCATCCCAGAGCCTGGGTGTCTGCCAGGAGCCTGAGCACGCTGTGTGCACTTGGGCCAAGTCCACACCCTCTCTGGGCCTCAGTTACCCTCCTCTTAGAGCACCTTGAACTAGGAGAGAGGGCTCAGCGGTTAGAGCACTGGCTGCTCTTGCAGAGGAGCCGGGTTGGAGTCCCAGCATCCACAAGATGGCTAACAACCATTTGTAACTCTAGTTCCAGCGGATCCAACGCCCTCTTCTGACCTCCACGGGCATTGCACTACATGGGTGCACTTACACACATGCAGGCAATACACAAAATATACATAAAATAAAAATAAATAAAACACACCTAACATGAGCTAGAAAACAGCCTGTTGATGTGTGTCACTGCCTGAGAATGTGCCCAGACTCAAAGTATTCCTACATTCAAAGGAGCCAATGAGGAAACAGGAACACAGGCAGGGGTCAAGGGTTAAACCAAGCCATGGTCTCTCTGCCTGTGTGAATATGCGTTTTGGACTTTGGGAAATGTCCAGTAACAATTGCTGCCTCAAGGAGACAAACCAGAGGCACCTGCGGTTCTAAATTTTCTAGTATGGGCTGGATGGTAGTGTGGGTTCTGCCTAGAGTCCCCCAGTGAAGGGCTGGGGTGTGGCTCAGTGGTAGAACCCCTGCCTAGGATACCCCAGTGAGGGGCTGGGGTGTGGTTTAGTGGTGGATCCCCTGCCTAGAGTTCCCCAGTGAGGGGCTGGGGTGTGGCTCAGGGGTAGAGCCCCTGCCTAGTATCCCCCAGTGAGGGGCTGGGGTGTGGCTCAGTGGTGGAGCCCCTGCCTAGAATCCCCCAGTGAGGGGCTGGGGTATGGCTCAGTGGTGGAGCCCCTGCCTAGGATCCCCCAGTGAGGGGCTGGGGTGTGGCTCAGTGCCTAACACTGGGCAAAGGTTCAATCTTCAGTGGTGCTAAATTTATTAAACAATGACTTAATATGAAGGAAATGCAAGCTAGAAAGAACACTGGACCACGGACGCGCAGGCTAACCTGCTTGTTCCTTCTGATGGAGAAGGTGGTGAGGAGCAGACCCTGGACCCTGGATTCTCCTGCCTTCCAGCCCTTCTCACCTGCATCTTGCGGAGTTGCTTCACTGCCTCCTCCTTGCCCTGCCCAGCAGCCGAGGTCTGCGCCTTCAGTTCCTCCAGCTCTGCCTCCAGCTTCTTCCGAGCAGCCACAGCCAGTGCCCTCTGTTTCCGCTCCTCATCCCGCTCCACTTCAGCATCCCTCAGCTGGGAGGCAGGAGGGGTCAGAGGTCAGGGCACTCAGGCTCCCTCCAGGTACCCATTCCTCCTGTCCTGTGATTGGCCCTGCCTCACAGCTCCTCTCAGTCCCCACATGCTCCCAGCATTGCCTCCTTCCCATATGAAGTTGCTTTCTGCCCCCAGTCCTGCCTGCACCTGTTGCCTTTGGATTGAAGCACTGGGGAGGCCCAGGATGTCAAAAGAAGAACTCACAGAAAAGTTACAAAAAGTTCTAAAAAAAAAAAAAAGTTAAAAGAAATTAAAGAAAAAATTACAAAGACAAAAAAGTTACAAGAATTCACAGAAAGTTGTTGTGCCCAATGTGGTGGCATATGCCTTTGATCCCAGCACTTGTGAAACATGGGCAGGTGAATCTCTGTAAGATGGAATCCAGCCTGTCTACACGATAAGTTCTAGGCCAGCTGGGGCTACAGGGAGACCATGTAGCAAAAACACCAAAAAAAAAAAAAAAAAAGTAAAAACTTACAAAAAATTACAAGAACTCTAAAAAGTTGTAAAAACATTTAAAAAGCTACAAAAATTCACCAAAAAAGAACTCACAAAAACACTTGCAAGAATTCACACACAAAAAAAGTTACAAGAACTCAGGAAAAAGTTACAAGAACTCATTTAAAAAGTAGTAGGAATTCACCAAAAAGATTACAAGAATTCACAAACAAGTTACAAGAACTCAAAAAGTTACAAGAATCACAAACTCACAGAAAGTTGTAAAAACACAAAAAAGTTACAAGAACTCATAAAAAGTTGCAAGAATCCACAAAATAAAGTTACAAGGACTCAGGAAAAAAGTTAAAAGAACTCATAAAAAAAGCTGTAAAAATTTGCCAAAAAGGTTACAAAGAATTCACAAAACAAGTTACAAGAACTCACAAAAAAGTTACAAGAATTCAGGGGCTGGAGAGTTGGCTTGGTGGTTAAGAGCACTGGCTGCTCTCCCAGAGGATCCTGATTTGAATCCCAGCACTCACTTGGCAGCTAACAACCATCATAACTCCAGTTCCAGGAGATCTAACACTTTCTTCTGACCTGCATGGGCATTGCATGACATGGGTGCACTTACATACATGCAGGCAATACACTCATACACATAAAATGAAAATAATAAATAATTTTTTAGTTACAAGAATTCATACAAAAAAAGTGACAAGAACTCACAATAGTTACAAAAATTCACACACACACACACACAAAAAAAAAATCAGAAAAAGTTTCAAGAACTCACAAAAAGCTGGTGTGGTGGTACACACCTTTAATCCCAGCACTCAGGAGGCAGAGGTAGGCAGATCTCTGTGAGTTCAAGGCCAGCCTGGACCACTGGGGCTAGATATTTAGCTCTTGTCTTTTTTAATAAATAAATAAATAAATAAATAAATAAATAAATAAATAATAAATAAAAAGGAAATTTTTTAAAAGTTCCAAGAACTCACTGGGCGTGGTGGCACAGGCCTTTAATCCCAGGACTCAGGTGGCAGAGGCAGGCGGATCTCTGTGAATTCAAGGCCAGCCTGGTCCACATAAAGTTACAAGGCCTCATTAAGAAATTACAAGAACTCACAGAAACAGTTACAATAAGAGACATTTCCCTCCCTGAAGTTATATAAAGGGAAAAAAATGAGCTCCCAGGATGCAGCTTTCCTGGTCCTCACCCATGCCCAGGTGAACCTTGTTGAGATGCAGCTGCATAGTCGCCCAGGCTCCTGTAAGTGACCCCAATAAACTCAGTGGCTCCCCAAGCTAGACTACACAGAGGGAGTATTCTTTGCCTGTCGGTGCCCTATCACAGGGTGAACAGTGTCTAGAGACACCTGCATGTGACTTGGACCAACAGTGAGGGGCAGGTGGTGGGTAGAGGAGGAGGTGGGTGCTGGGGAGTCCACACACAATGTGGATCTGTCAGTAGGATTTGGGTGGGGTCCCAGCCACCTGGTAGATTAAGGGCTGGGGAGCGGGAGGTTGGCTCTGTGGGTGGAGGATGGCTGGGACTCTGTCCAGCTCTCTGCGTGCACCAGGGCTAGATGGGGCTTGCACCCTCCTGCTCAGCTGTACCTGCTTGGCCAGCTGCCTCCGCCTCTCTTCACCGGCTTCATCGCGGCCCTGCAGATCTCGCTCATGCTGCGCTTTCAAGGCCTGCACGGTCACCTCCAGGCGCAGCTTGGCATCCTCGGCCGCTGTCAGCTCATCTTCCAGCTCAGTCACCTGTGTCCGCAGGTCGCTGGCAGCCTGTTCTGCCACTCGGCGGGCTCTCTCCAGCTCATGCACCTGGTGGGAGGAGGGAGTGAGTTTGGGGCATTGGCTGGGGTTAAGATGGTGTCCTGGGTAGAGCGGAGAGCCTGTGATGGAGGATGAGGCTGCGGTGTTGGTGCAGTGAGTTTGGGGCACTGGCTGGGGTTAAGATGGTGTCCTGGGTAGAGCGGAGAGCCTGTGATGGAGGATGAGGCTGCCGTGTTGGTGGAGATGTTCACCGGGTTCAGCTCCTCACACCTCCACTATTTACTGAGCACCTACTAGGTCTTGTCCTAAATTATCTGAAAACATTTTATAGAAACCTGTGATGGTTACTTTTTGGGTTTTAAATTTAAAAAAATTTCATTTTACGTATATGAGTGTTTTGTCTGCATTGTGTAAGTGCACCCGTGCATGCAATGCCTGCAGAGGCCAGGAGACGGTGTTAGATCTGCAGGAACTAGAGTTACAGCTGGTTGTTAGCTGCCATGTAGATGCTGGGAATGGAACCTGGGTCCTCTGCAAGAGCAACCAGTGCTCTTAACCGCTGAGCCGTCTCTCCAGCCTCCAGTGCTCTTAACCACTGAGCCGTCTCTCCAGCCCCCCTGGTTATTAATTCATTCTCGCCTCTATTCTTTTCTAAACTTGGGGTTTCTGTATGTTTCAGAGGGGTCTTTTCTAAACTTGGGGTTTCTGTATGTTCCCCGAGTCCTTGGGGCTCCTCTGGGAGCCTCAGCTTAGCAGTCTCCTCTTGGAGCCACTGCCCTTGATCCTCAGCTCCTGCTACTGAGCCCTGTTCATGGCCAGCTGTTTTCCTGGTGGTGCCCTGGGCTGGGCGGGGAGCTCCCCATGGCAGGTACATCCACTTACTGCCCCTGACAGAGAGACTCTGATCAGTGCAGGCCTGGTATTTAATGGGATTCTCATTCACCTGTGTCTGAGTGGCATCCACAGGTATGTCCAGCCAGGTATAGTGGCACATGCCTGTTAGCTCAGCACGTATGAGGCTGAGGCAGGAGGATTGCCAGGAGTTCCAGATCAACTTGAGACACATAATTATCAAAAACAAAGTGCAAGAGAGAGAGCAGAAAAAGAGGCAACTAATAATGCAAAAAACCCCAAGGTGTGTGATGGGAGAATCCTCACACCCTGTAACAATGCTCACAGCACTGCTGTCCCTGTGAGCACGTGACTGGATGGCTCTTCTTGATGGGGTGGGAGCCTGTGTGAGCCTGTCTCCCCTCACCATGGCTGCCCTCTCTGCTTACGCTCTTGCCAACGTCGTCCTTGCTGCTCAGCAGAGCCTCCAACTCAGCCCTCAGAGCACGGTTCTGCCGCTCCAGCTCCTCCCTGGCCTCCTGCTCTTCCTCCAGGGCCCGGGTCAGCGACAGTGCTCGGGCCTCCCGCTCCCGGCCTTCTGCCTCCACTCGCTCCCGTTCTTCCACGGCCCTTAGCACTGCGGCCTTCTCCTCAGCCAGGAGCTGCAGGGAGATGGAAGGGAGGCTGATTAGCTGAAAGAGGAGGACTGGGAGGAGGAGCCCAAAATGTCAAAAGTATTTGGGAGCTTGTATCTAATCCTTAAAGGATTTTAGGGTTACCTCTTCAGAGGGGGGAATGTTGGAGGGGAGGGAGTGGGCATGGTGTTTGATCAAAACACCTTATATGCATGTATGAAATTCTCAATAAGGTTTTTGTAAAAAATTAAGATAAAGGAGAAGGATGAAGAGGAGGGGGGGAGGAGGGGGGAGGAGGAGGGAGAGGAAGAAGGAGAGGGAGAGGGGAGAAAGGAGGAGGAGGAGGGGGAGGAGGGGTAAGGGAGAGGAGAGAAAGAAGGAGGAGGAGGAAAAAAGGAAGAGGAGGAGGAAGAGGAAGGGGAAAGGGGGAGGGGAAGAGGATCCACTAGAGAGAAAAAGAGAGACAGACTGAATGAGACAAGAAACAGAGAGAGAGATGGAGAGAGAGTCAGAGACAGAGGTAGAGACAAAGAGTCAGAGATGGAGGTAGACAGAGGCACAGGAGACAGAACTGAAGTTACGACCGTACCCCAGTCCAGCCCTGCTCTGGAGGGCCACACAGGCCACCTTGCTCCCCACAGTTGCAGAGGATGGGCACACCTGCCTCTTGTTGTGACGGTAGGCGACTATATACGTATATTTGAAAACAGACTTCAATGTTTACTGTTTTCTTTTAAAAGACATAGAAAGGAAGACAAATGGGGGATGGGGAGCAACATCTACCCACAAAGCCAGACCCACAACACCCTCCATGCTGGGATTATTTGACCAGGATGATAAGTAAGGTTTAGAACAAGCCAGGGATAATGAAAAAGAGACAGGTTCTAGTGGGATTTGAAACTGAAATAGAACTACATGGAAATGTCAGATGTGATATCCTGGGGCTGGCAGGATAGCTCAGTGGGTAAAGATATGTGCCACCAAATTGGACAACTTGAATTTGATCCTTGAACCCCAACACAGCTGTATCAAGACATGGCACTTGGGAAGTGTGAGGGCTTGGATCTGATATGGAAGACTAAGAAGTGGAACTATTTCAGGAGGCTGTGGAGCTTTTGAGAGGCGGGGCCTGGCTGGGAGGAGCCGCCAGAGGGCACCTCTGAAGGCCTATCAGACCCCCGCTCCTGCCTTGATCTCTGCTTCCTATTCACTATGACGTATATAGCCTCTGCCCCATGCTGCCCCAGCCACAATGTTCTGCCCAATTGCATGAGGACCCAGGACAGAATCCTCTGAAACCATGAGCCAAAATGAACCTTTCTTCCCTTAGATGGTTGCTGTCAGGTGTTGTCATCATAACAACACAATGCAAAGATAAGTGACTGGGGGCTGAAGAGGTGGCTCCGCGGTTAAGAGCAGCGGCTGCTCTTACAGAGGACCAGGTTCAACTCCCAGTACCCACATAGCAACTAACAATCATCCATAACATCAGTTCCAGGGGAATCCGACATCCTCTTCTGACCGCTGAGGATATTGCATGACACAGGTGCATTTATACACATGCAGGCAGTATACTCATACACACAAAATAAAATAATAAAAAAATATAAGTGACTGGATCCTGAAGGCCCCTCCTCCATCAATGGATTGTCCATCTGTAACTTGGTAGCAGAAATGTAGGATGTGAGGACTAGTTAAAAAGAACAGCCCACTATGGTGGCATGTGCCTTTAATCCCAGCACTTGGCAGGCAGAGGCTGTGAGATCTTGGCCAGCCTGGTCTACATAGTGAGTTCCAGGACAGCTGGGGCTATAGGGAGATCCTGGGTGCTAGATAAATTCAGTTGTCAACTTGACACTCACAGGAAGAGGGAACCTCAACTGTGGAATTTCCTCTGTGGTACTGGCCTACAGCCATGTCTGCGGGGCATCTTCTTGTTTGTTGAGTGATGTGGGAGGGCCCAGCCCACTGTGGGTGGTGCCACCCCTGGGCATGTGGTCCTGGTTTGCATAAGAAAGGTCTCTGAGGAAGTCAGGGTAAACAAGCCAGTGAGCAGTGTTTCTCCAACCACCTCCCTCCCTCAGTTCCTGCCTCCAGGTTCCCTCAGTGATGAACTGTGATTGGAATGTGTAACCCAGATAAACCATTTCCTCCCCAACTTGGTTTTGGTTAGAGTGTTTTATCACTGCAAAAGAAAGCTGACTGGAATAAAAAATAAACAGCTGGAGAGATGGCTCGGCAGTTAAGAGCACTGTTTGCTCTAGCAAGGGACCCGGGTTTGATTCCCAGCACCCACATGGCGGCTAACAACTGTCTATAACTCTAGTTCCAGGGGACTCCAATGCCCTCTTCTGACCTTCTTGGGCACTGCATGACACAGATGCACTTACATACATGCAGATAATACACTCATATACACAAAGTAAAAATAAAAATGGAAGGAAGGAGCAGGCTCTTGGCTAGCACTAGGTCTGGTCCCTGCTGTCTTCCCCACTTCCCTCCCTCACCCTTCCCTCCTTCCCCACCTCCCTCCCTCCCAAATTCACTACCACACACTCCCTTCCATGAGCTTCTGTCTTACCACAGACCCAGAAACAACAAAGCCAAGCAACCATGGACTGAGACTTCCCAGACCATGAGCCAAAATAACCTTTTCACTTAATAAACCCATGGCTTCCACTAGTGGCTACAGTCATGGAAGGCTGACTGACACATGACCCTAACAGTCCAGGTTTCATCTGCAAGCTGTGGACATCCTCATAGGATTTCCATTTTCTAGATGGGTAAACTGAGGCTGAGATGGGTGAAACAAAATTGCTTGACGTCTCCAGGGTGTCCCAGGATGAGAGAGAGGACATGTGAGCACCCTTGGGCACATGCGGACAGAATATTCTGCACACCACTATGCAAATGGGATGCCCTAAAGTAACAGGGGTGGGGGTGGGGGTGGTTGCAAATAGAGATGCAGGGCAGCCTGCTTTAGAGGCTCCAGGGGAGGACACCCCTGGTGTCTTTCCCCCTTGTAACCTCCTATGCACTCTTTAAAACCCATATCGAATGTCCCCTCTCCCCGACCACGTCTGTCCTGAATGTCCAAGTTTCTGGTCCCTAAGGATGGGCGGATGCAGGGCCGAGCTTTCTGGTCTCCCATCTGGGTAAACCGAGGCACCCACCTGGTCGAACTTGCGCTGTTTCTTCTCCAGCGTGCTCACGAGCTGCCGCTGCTGCTCAAGGTCCACCACAGCGTCGTCCAGCTCCTGCTGCAGCCGCCGGCGGCCCCGCTCCAGCCTCTCCACCACCTCCGTCTTTTCAGTCAGGCGCTGGGTCAGGGCCTCGGCCTCACGGGCCACCTTGCGACGAGCCTCCTCTCCCGCCTCCAAGGCCCCGGCCTCTTCCTCCTGCCGTCGCCGCCATTCAGAGAGCTGCGGGGAGGACGAGGGAGATGGCCCAGCTGTGGGTGACGGTGCTGGCCATTCATGCCGCCCACGTGGGGTCCGGAGGTGCGGATTCAACCCGGCTCCTCGGGAATAAACCGCTCCCACTGGGACCCAGACATCAAAGAAGCTTCCCTGGGAAGCCTCTGTGTGAAGAAGGCCGAGGCATGGGGCAGAAGCTAAGGTAGAGGGAACACAGGAGCCCCGGGAGCCCACAGAAGGCTGTCAGGAGCTCTTTTGTTTTTCATTCTTTTGGAAGTATTTTATGTGTATGAGTGTATTGCCTGCATGTGTGTAAGTGCACCTGTGTCATGCAATGCCCAAGGAGGAAAGAGAGGGAGTCAGATCCTCTGGAACTGAAGGTACAGACGGTTGTTAGCCCCCATGTGGGTGCTAGGAATTGAACCTAAGTCTTCTGTAAGAGCAGCCAGTGCTCTAACAGCTGAGCCATCTTTCCAACCCCTCTATTAGCATTAAGGCCACATGCAAGAGGGTCTGTTGTGGGCTATGCTAGGGCCCAATATTGAACACTGACAGTTATTTGAAGGGGCTCATAATCTGGTACAGAGACCTGTGGGCAGGATATTCACAGCCAGAACTTGGAAAGAGTGAAGACTTGGTCAGGAAGAGTGTCCAACCCCAGTTTAAGGAGTGAAGAAAGGCTTTCTAAGAGAACTGGGATGTATACATGAGAGCTTTGTCCAGGATACTGGTAAGGCTGCTCCCGGTGCAGGTGGAGTCCTCCGGCTGTGTGGGGAGGGGACAGGAGGTACAGGGGCATACAGCTGGACTGGAGGCTAGAGTCGGCTGTGTGCATGGATAGACTGGGGTAGGTGTAGTTGTGGGGACACAGGGAGGGTCAGGGGGTTGGAGCAGCACTGGGTGTCTGGCCTGTAACGGTCAGCGCCGAGTCTGTTCACAAGTCCGGATGCTGGGCGCAGCACCTGGGCCTGGGCACTCTGCAGCTCGCGGGCAGCCCGCTCTCTGGCGGCGGCCTCTTCCTCCATCTGCTCCCGCAGCCCTGCCGCTTCAGCCTCCACAGCACGCACTCGGGACCCCAAAGCCAGCTTGGCCCTGGTCTCCTCCTGCAGCAGCTCCTGTGAGTGGAGGCAATGGCAGGGGGTCAGGTGGGGCTCAGCAGCAGGGCAGAGGGCATGCTAGGGGTGGGTGGGCAGACCCGGTCACCTGGGTGTCATGCAGCTGGGACTCTGTGCTGCTCAGCTCCTTGCTCAGCCTGATGGATTTGGACTCCGCCTCGCTCAACGCTGTGGACACACTCTCCAGTTCTGCCTGCAGAGAGAGGATGAGTGCATGACATGACGTCCATGCAGGCTGCTACATTAGGCCCTGTTGGTGCCTCCACCCCAAACTCCACCACACACACAGTCAAGAAGGCAAGTGGCCAGGCCAGCAGCTGCTCTAGGGTCTAACCCAGAGAGCACCTGTACAATTTACATGTGGATATGGGGGTCGTGTGTTAAGTCTCCTGGAGGAGCTGAATTTTGGCCCTCATGTCCAAATGGAAATTGTACAGACATGTTCAAGCTGGATCTACAAGCAAGAACCAGGGAGCCACAGCCACATCACCCACAGGGTAGGGCAGACAGGCCATGTCAGATCCAGATGATGGAATATTATTCAACAACAAAAAGGAATGAGGGAGGTGGGTGTGGTGGTGCATGTCTTTAATCCTAGCACTTGGGAGGCAGAGGCAGGTAGATCTCTGTTACAATCAGGGCCAGACTGGTCGACATAGTAAGTTCCAGGCCAGCTGGGGTAATGGGGAGCTCCTGTCTCAAAAATTATAAATGGGGTCTGGAGAGATGGCTCAACAGTTAAGAGCACTGGCTGCTCTTGTAGAGAATCCAGGTTCAGTTCCCAGCACCCACATGGCGGCTAACAAGCATCCATAACTCCAGTTCCAGGGGATCTGACACCCTCTTCTGACCTCTGTTGGCATTGCACACATGGATGCACTCACATACATTCAGGCAACACACTCACACACGTAAAACAGAAATGAATAAACCCATAAATGGTCAAACTAGCCAGGCCTCGTGCAGAGGACTGTCTGTCTGTTGGAGTTCTATGAACTGTGGATTCACAGTTGTTCACCCCCAGCCAGGCCACCCCACTCACCTGGGCTCTCTGCAGCTTTTCAGCAGCCTCTGCTCGGGCACGCTCCCCATCACCAGCCCGGCCCTGCACCTCCTGTAGTTGGGACTCCAGGCGACGTCTCTTCTGCTCACCCTCCTGTCGTGAAGTCTGTAGGCTGCTCAGCTCTGTGCGCAGCTCCGACACCTCGGCCTCCAGGGCCAGCCGAGCCTTCTCCCAGACACCTTTGCCCTGTGGGCACAGGGAGTTCCTGAGGCAAACCCTTCAGCAGGCCGTGTAATCTCCTGCCTCTGGGGCTTTGTACATATAGTGCTGTTCCACCTGCTGGAACACGCTCCTTTTCTGGTTCCCAGATGGCTCTGCTCTCATCTCCTTCAGTTTCGTCCAACACCCCCCCTCTCACAGTGGACCTCCTTGACCCATTTGTTCCTCCTTCCCCAGGGCACCTGTCACCCTGACAGAGCCCAGACGTGTTTAACATGGTAGACTCCACCTGTAAACATCTCCACTAAGATGCCAGTATACAGGGGAAGGGACGATGGGATGCCTTGTTCCTTACGGCATACTATTCACTCGATTTAGTATTTATTCAATTCACATCCCTGTAAGGAAAGAACCCAGGGAGACCTGCCCAGCGTCCTGCCCAGTGTCCCTCTCCCTGGTCCCTGTCCACTCACCCTGCGGGCTTGCTCCAGCTGTTCTGCCAGCTCCCCCAGCGCCTGGCCATGCCTCTGCCTCAGCTCCTGCACCGTCACCTCGTGTGCACGAGCTTCCTCTTCCAGGGCCTTCTTCAGCTCCGTCACCTCCTGCTCCCTCTTAGACCTTTGACAGGAAAAGGGGGCGGGGGGAGGTAGGGAAGGGTTTGGGGAGATCCAGTCTGGGCCTCCTTCCTTATCTCCACATCCTGTGAGGGTCTGGATGTGAAATGCCCCCCACAGGCTCGGGAGTCTGAACACTTGGTCCTCGGCCTATGGCTCTGTTTTGGGGGGCTGTGGGTTCTTTGGGGTGTGGGATCTCCCTGACACACTTAGGGTGACTGGGGTGGAGCTAGGGGTCACAGTCGGTTCCTGTCCACATCTCTCTGCTTCCTGGTCTGCCGAGATTTGAGCCAGCCTGACTGCGTGGTCTCAACACTACAGACTCCCTGCCATGAAACTGTGAGCCCAACTAATCTTTCCTCTCAAGTTGCCTCTTGTTATTTGGTTGCTGCCAGGAGATAAGTAACAAATACACTTCCCACTGGGACAGTGTGGTGATGTGGGAGGAGGAATTTCAAGGGTAAACTACTCAACACTAAAAACCCTATTCAAAGGGCCCCTCCACAGGGACCTCACCCAAGACTCACCTGTAGACTTGGCTTAAATATTTTATTTATTTATCTAAAATATTTTATTTTTTCATCTTTTTGAGACAAGGTCTCCCTGTAGCCCCAGCTGTCCTGGATCTCACTATGTAGATCAGGCTGGCCTTGAACTCACAGAGATCCGCTTGCCTCTGCTTCTCGAGTGCTGGGATTAAAGGTGTGTGCCACCACACCTGGCCTTACTATTTAATTTTATGTGTATGAGTGTATTGCCTGCATGTATGTAAGTGCACCCATGTCATATAATGCCCAAGGAGGACAGAAGAGGGCGTCAGATTCCCCTGGAACTGAAGTTATGGACGGTTGTTAGCTGCCATGTGGGTGCTGGGAATTGAACCCAAATTCTCTACAAGAGCAGCCAGTGCTCTTAACTGCTGAGCCATCTCTCCAGCCCCAATACTTATTTTCTTATTTTTATTTTATGCATATGAGTGTTTTGTCTGCATGTGTGTATGTGCACCTGAATCACCCAGTGCCCATGGAGGCCAGAAGAAACCATCAGATCCCCTGCAACTGCAGTTACAGATGGTTGTGAGCCACCACGTGGGTTCTGGGAACCAAACTAGGGTCCTCTGCGCGAGCAGCCAGTGCTCTGAACTAAGTCACCTCTTCTGTCTCTGGACTTGGCTCAGCACTGAGTGTCCTCACTGCTTTAAGTGCCTCTTGTTCAGGTGTTGCTGGACTCTGCCTCCCCCAGGAGACCCAGAGGGTAACACCTCGTCCCTGCTCCTCCACTCCCAGCCTGGCTCAGAGCAGGTACAAGTGTGGGCTGAGTTTCTGCTAGCCATGACTGCTCCACCCCCCAGCCCTGCATGCCCAGGGCCTCACCGCAGCTCCTGCTGTGCATTCGTGGAGTCCAGCGTATCCTCCAGCTCCCCGCGCAGGGCCTCCAGCTCCTCACCCAGGTCACGCCGCTGCTTCTCTGCCTTGGCCCTGGCCACCCGCTCAGCCTCCAGGTCCTCCTGGGCTTCGGCCAGGCCAGCCTGTGCCTCCCGCAGGGACTTGAGCAGCTGGGCACGGGCCCCACCCTCCTCCTCTGCCCTGCGGGGGTTAGGGGGAGGTAACAAGGATGAGGTGGTAGGCTGGGTAGCTTTATTGTCAACTTGACACACCTGGGTGGAGGGAGCCTCAACTGGGGAACTTCCTTCATTAGACTGGCCTGTGGCCATGTCCATGGGGCACCTTCTTGGTTGCTGAGTGATGTGGGAGGGCCCAGCCCACTGTGGGTGGTGCCACCCCTGGGCAGGTGGGCCTGTGTTACATAAGAGAGCAGGCTGAGCAGGGGCCAGGGGAGCAAACCAGTAAGCAGTGTTCCTCCATGGCCTGTGCTCCAGCTCCTGCCTCCAGGTTCCTGCCCTGAGTTCCTACCTTGGGCTCCCGAATGAACTGTGACCTGGGAGATGTAAGACAGATAAACCCTTTCCTCCCCAAGTTGGTAGTGGTCAGAGTATTTTGTCACAGCAATGAAGAACAAACTAGGATAGGTGGGGTTGGCACCTGGGCAGGCAGGGCTGAAGGGGAAGTTTGGGGTGGTGAGTTCAAGTCCTGGCACTGGCATTAGTCATGTGACTCCTGCCCCCAAACCCCACCACTCTCCCAGGGGTCCCCTGGCTGCTGCCACATGCCACCCTTTATATGTGGGGTGTTTGGAGGTTTTATTGTTGAATTCCGAGATAGGGTCTCCCTAAGCTGCCTAGGCTGGCCTTGAATTCATAGCAGTCTTCCTGCCTCAGTCTCCCAAGTGCAGGGATGATGGGCATGTGCCACCGCACCAGGTCTTTTTTTAATATTCTTTCAGATTTCATTAATGAATTATTACTATTATTTGGGGGTTTTTTGAGACAGGGTCTCCCTGTAGCCCCAGCTGTCCTGGAACTCTCTATGTAGACCAAGCTGGCCTTGATCTCACAGAGATCTGCCTGCCTCTGCCTCCTGAGTGCTGGGACTAAAGGTGTGTACCACCACACCTGGCTCTAGATTTACTATATTTATATGTGTTTGTGTGTGCCTCTGTGAGTGCCAAAGATCAGAGGTATCAGATCTCCTGGAACTGGACTTGTAGGTGGTTGTGAACTGCCTAATAGAGGTGCTGGGAACCTAACCTGGGTCCTCTGCAAGAGCACCAAGCACTCTGAACCACTGAGCCACCTCTCTGGCCCCATAGGTCTTTTTTACATTTTTCTTGAGTGTGCACACGCATGCATGTGGAGGCTGGAGGTTGACACTGGGCTTTTCCACAAGCTCATTCCACTTTGTTTTGAGACAGGTCTCTCACTGCATCTGAAACTCACCAAATGGCTATGCTCACTGGATAATAAACTCCAGGATCCTCCTGTCTCTGCCTCCTCGGTGCTGGGATTAAAGATGTTTGTAGCTGCACCTGGTTTGTTTGTTTTTGTGGTCTTTTTGAGACCTGCAGCTCCAGCTGGCCTAGAACTCACTATGTAGACCAGGCTGGCCTCAATCTCACAGAGATCCATCTGCCTTTGCCTCCCAAGTGCTGGAATTAAAGGTGTGCATCACCAGACTCGGCCGCACCTGGCTTTTTATGTGGGTGCTGGGGACCCAAACTAAGGTCCCCATGCTGTGTGCCACTTTCCCCACTGAGCCACCTCTCCAGCCTCTAGTTCATATTTTTACACCTGTAAAATAGGGCTGCACCCACAAGCCAAGGTGCCTTGGATGCCCTGAAGCACAGTGTGGCAAATGCCCTGGCTGGCACACAGTAGGGGCTCAATAAGTGTTGGTGCAAGGATCCTGGCCCCTCATATGTCAGGCCACCCTAGAGGCTGGCAGGGAGAGGCTCAGTCCCACCCTCTGCTGGGTGTGCTAGTCACCCCAGTTCACAGAAGGGACTGAGGCATGAAGGCAGCCCCTGGGCACCCCACCTGGCCAGGGCTGCCTGCAGCTCATCCTCTTTACGGCCCAGCTGCACCCGCAGCTCTTCAGCCCGCTGCTGCTGCTCTGCCATCTGCTCCTGCAGCTCCGAGCTCTCCCCGTCCAGCCGTCGCTTTGTCTTCTCCAGCTCCTGCCGGCCTCTCTCCTCCTTCCGCAGCCGGTCTGTGGGCACAGGGACGCAGGAGCACTGAGACATCACCCACGGGGGACAGGGGAGGGCTCCAGACTGTGCCCACGGGACAGGGTCGGGGCGGGCTGAGACGGTGCCCACGGGGGATGAGTCAGACCCAGCCTCCCTCCTCCTGATGGTGTCTCTGCCTCCTCCTTCAGACTGTGTCAGCACCATATACATAGTCTGCCCCCCACCCAACTGCCTGTATGCACACCGGCCTACCCCTCTGTGTGCACCCCCACCACCCTCTGTCCCTGTGCACAGCTGCCTCCCCCCCATCTGTCTGTATGAACACCTGCCCCCTCCCTCCATCTGTGTGAACACTTGCCCTTTCCCTCTGTCTGTCAGTGTGCACAGCTGCCTCCCCCTCTGTCTGTGTGAACACCCACCTCCTCCCTCTGTCCTTCCCTGTGCACAGGTGCCTCCCCCTCTGTCAATGTGCACAGCCACCCCCTCCCTCCCACAAGCACTCAGCAGGCAGACAGTACACAGGCCTCTCACAGGCTCCCATGACTCCAGGGCCTCACCCTCCATGTCTGCGATGGTGGCCTCGTATTTGAGCCGCAGCTTGTTGAGACTCTTCACCTTCTCCTCCTCCTCGGCTGCCTGTGATGAGAACTCAGCCAGACGCTCCTCCAGCAGCTTCCGCTCCTGCAGGTGAAGGGACACAGGGTCAGGGCCAGCGGTCTGCCACCTGTCCATCCATCAATCCTCCACCTGCCCGGCCATCCCTCCTCCACCTGCCCGTCCATCCTTCCTCCACCTGCCTGTCCATCCCTCCTCCACCTGCCTATCTAGCACTCCTCCACCAGCCCCCATCTTCTGTCCTGGAGTCTGGGTTCAGCCTGCCCCATGGGGGTCAGTGCTGGCTGCAGGGCAGGGAGCCCTGTTACAGGTCCACTAAGCTACTGCCTCACTGAAGGATGTGGGCTAACTCCAACCACTGATGGTTGTTGGCTGCCATGTGGGTGCTGGGAACTGAACCCAGATCCTCTGCAAGTGCAGCCAGTGCTCTCACCACTGAGCCCTCTCTCTAGTCCTCACTATTTTTTTTTTTTTTTGGTCTTTTTGAGACAGGGTCTCCCTGCAGCCCCAGCTGTCCTGGAACTCACTATGTAGACCAGGCTGGCCTTGAACTCACAGAGATCTGCCTGCCTCTGTCTCCCGTGTGCTGGGATTAAAGGCATGTGCCACCACGCCTGGCTATCACTGTTCTTTTTTTAAAAGGATTTATTTTTTATTTTGTATGTATGAGTGTTTTGTCTGCATGTATGTAAGTGCACCATGTGTGTGCAATACCCATGGAGGCCAGAAGAAGGCGTCAGATTCCCTGGATGGTTATGAGCTGTCATGTGGGTGCTAGGAACCAAACCCATGTCCTCAGTTAGAGCAGCCAGTGCTCTTAACCTCTGAGCATCTCTCCAGCTCCCAACCATAGCTCTTAGTAGCAAACATCCCTGTGGGTCCAGCAGCATGCTGGGGGGTGGTCATCTGCCATCACCCCACACATGGCTCACTGGGCTGGGGAACCCCTGTATGAACCCATCTTCCACACTTGGGTCTACGTCACCCGCTAGTGGCCAGGGCTCTGGTCCCCAGCACACCAGGTGCTGACCCGTGCCCAGCCCCATCCACACCTTGCTTAGCTTAGCATTCTGGTCTTCCAGGATCAGCAGATCCTCCTGGAACTTCTTCATCTTGGCCTCTGTGGTCACCTTCTCCAGCTGCAGCTTCTGCCGTGCACCCTCCTCTGCCTCCAAGTGGGTTTCCAGCTCCTGTGGAGGAGGGACAGCAGACCCCAGGGGCTGTGGCTCATAACAGGCCCATGCCTTGGGCAACGCTGGGCAGGATCAAGCCCTTCCTGATCTTCCCTTTCTGTTCATTGGTCCAACAAGCACTTATTGAGTGCCTAGTGTATACCAAACACCACTGATGGCCTAAAATTCCTCTTCCTGCAGAAAGAGCACTTCCACAAACAGTCACAGGAGGGTGGCTTGCCTGGGCTAGCAGCAGGGCAGAGAGGGCCATGGAGCCAGGAGGTGGACATAGGGTCCTGAGGATGGCACCTGAGCACCTAGATCCAACCGTATATGAAGCTGGCACATTCTAGAGCTCCCATTTGTCAAATGAAGCCTATACATTCCTTCCGTGTGGGTCACTTGGAGCTGCGGGGTGGGGTGGGCATGGCCATGGGTGTCACCCCCCCTCACCTGGATGTGCTGCTGCAGACGTTTCTTCTCTCCCTGCAGCTGCCGGCTGCACTCCTCCTCCTCACCCACTCGAGCCTCCAGCTCTGACACGACCAGCTCCAGCTCCTGTTTTCTGGCTGCCAGCCGAGCTCGTGTCTCCTCAGCCTCCGAACACAGCTCGGCCTCTGCACGAAGCTGCTCGGCGAGACGCAAGCGTTCCTCCTCCAGCTGGGAACAATGGGAATGGGTCACGGGTCAGCGGGGTCAGGGGTCGGCTGGGTCAGGCCCCTTCTGTCCCCCTGACTGTGTCCTCACAAATCCTGGTGATACAGTGATGGTGGGGGTATGGACTCCCCCCACACACCTCAGGGTGACCTCATGTCCCTAATCACCAAGGCAGAGTACTGGGCAAGTCCTCCCTCACCTCTCACAGCCTACCCAGGTCCCTCTGCCCAACCCAGCACAGCCAGACCCCAACCCTTAGGCCCACCCCTGCTCTACTGTTACTCTCCAAGTCCTGACCATCACCCACTGGCCCTGGCTAGTATCCCTGTCTCTTACCCTCTAGACTGGCCCCTGACTCTGCCCGCAGCCCCACTTCCTCACTCTCCCCAATCTGCCCTTCACACTCTGAACGACCTGAAGCCACACTCCTCACCCTCTCAGCCTGCCCTTATGTTCACCCACGGCCCTTACTCCCTCCATCCCATCCTTCATACACTGGCCCCACCCAGAAGCCCCACCCATCATCCCCCTGGCCCAGTCCCCCACCCCACTCTACTACAGCCCTGCAACCCAAGGTCCCACCCCTCATCTTCCTGAGCCCACTACTGGCCATTGGCCATGCCCAGAAGCCCCAGCCTACTGCTTAGTCTGTCACTCTCTTGACCCCACCCATAATTCCCCCCTACAGTGAGTTCAGCCTGAAACCTGCCTTTCATGCCCTGGCCCTACCAAGAAGCCACATGTTGTAGCTCCCCATCCCCAGCCCCTGACCATCTTAGACTGACCCCCAGACCCTAACCTCAACCTCTCAGACCTACCCCATAGCCCAGGCTTAGCACAGAAATCCCACCCTGGAACACTGGCACCCTTGAACGAGGGCCCCACCCCTCACCCTCTGGGACCATCCCTCATCCTGGTCCCTCAGTCCCTGGGATCCATCCCTCATCCCCTAGGACCTGTCCTTCATCCCTTAGAACCCACCTCTCAGCCCCTGGGACTGGTCTCTCAGCCCCTGGGACTCTGCCCATCAGTGACTAGGACCCTCAGCCCCTGGGATCATCCCCTCAGCCCCTAGGACTCTCCCCTCATCCCCTGGGACCTGCCCATCAGCCACTAGAACCTTCAGCCCCTGGGACCTGCCTCCCCACCCCTTGTCCCCTGCCTCCCCATCCCAGCCCGGCCCTCACCTGCGCCACTCGGCCCTGAAGCTCGCCCACTTCCCGTGCACTCTGCTGCTGCAGCTCCTGGACTTTCTGCAGCTCCTGTGCACGGGCCTGAAGCACTTCATCCTGCCGGGTCACCTGCAGCAGTGGCTTCACCTGGGTCCAGGGAAGGCACTGGTGTGATGGCCAGCTCCAGGAGAATGGCCTGCCCTCTGTCCCCTGTCTATCACCCCTGGCCTCAATCTATGGGTATATGCATGCAAGTACTGGGAATCAAACTCGGGTCCCTCTGCTAGAGCAGCATGTGCTTCTAAGTCACTTCTCCAGCCCCATTTTTCATCTATCATCTATCATCTATCATCTGTCTATCTCTATCATCTACCATCTGTCATCTATCATCTATCTATCAATTATCTATCATCTACGTATCATCTATCATCTATCTGTCTACCTATCATCTGTCATCTGTCTATCTCTATCTCTATCTATCTATCTATCTATCTATCTATCTATCTATCTATCTATCTATCATCTACCTATCATCTGTCATGTGTGTATTATTAGTGAGCAGGAATGGAAGTCAGAGGACAATTTGTGGGAGCTGATCCTCTCCTTCCACCGTGTGGGTCCTGGGGATTAAATTCATGTTGTCAGACTTGGCAGCAAGCACCTTTACCTGCTGAGCCATCTCATCAAGCCTTTCCCCCCCTTTCTTTCATGTTTCATGTAGCCCAGGCTGGCCTCAAATGCTATACATAGCCTAGAATGATCTTAAACACGTGATCCCCCAGCCTCCACCTCCTGAGTGCTAGGATGACAGGTGTGCACCACCACACCTGGTTAATGTAGTGCTGGGGATGGAACCCAGGTCTTTGTGCATGCTGGGCAAATGCTCTACCCGCTGAGGTACAGCCCCAGCTAAGGCCTCAAACTGTCCTACTGCCACAGCCTCCTGAGTTTGGGAATGATGGGCATGTGCCACTCCCCTATCCATCCTGCATCTTTTATGCAAACTAGTTTAAATCACTTGCCATCTTTAAAAAAAAAAAAAAAACCCTGGGTAACAAAGGTAGGGTTGATTGGCCCCATTTACAGACAAGGAAAACTGAGGCCCCAGAGGAAGTGGCTCTACTGGTGAGAACCACGTCTGTACTCACCTTGATGAAGAGCCTCCACCACTGCCAGTTCCTCAACTTGAGGTAGGCGGCACAGTTTCTCTGCATCACCCTGAGCGCGCTCTGCTGCTGCTGCCGCCGCTGGAAGGCCCTGCCGGGACACACCAGAGAGGTGGGCCAGGTCACGTAGCTTGGGCTGCCTCAAACGCCCTACGGAACTGAGGACCACCTTGAACTCCGGATCCCCTGCCTCCACCTCTCCAGTGCTGGGGTTACAGGGCTGTACCACCACTCCTAGTTAGTGTGGTGGTGGTCAGACCATGGGACCCGGGGTCTGGCGCATGCTGGGCACTCTACCAACTGAGCCCAGCACCAGCCCTGAGAATGACTCTGTCATGGACTTTACACTCAGTTCTGACAACCCCTGCCCTGTGCCCTCTGTCCTGGGCTTCCATCCAGGCCCCAGCCTCCTACCTGTCCCCTGAGTCCACCCTCAGCATGCTGACCCCACCCTCCTTGGCTCACAGCTCTCCATGGCTTCCCAGTACCCCTGGGTAAGGTCCCCCAGCCCAAGACCTGAAGCTTTTTCTTGCTCTGTTCTTTAAATGTTTATTATTATTATTTTGTCTTTTCGAGACAGGGGCTCCCTGTAGCCCCAGCTGACCTGAACTCGCTATGTAGACCAGGCTGGCCTTGAACTCACAGAGATCCGCCTGCCTCTGCCTCCCGAGTGCTGGGATTAAAGGTGTGCACCATCATGCCTGGCTTGTGTTTATTTTTATTTTAGGTGTATGAGTGTGTTGCCTGCATGAGCATAAGCGCACTTGTATCATGCAATGCCCACGGAAGTCACAAGAGGGTGTCAGATCCCCTGAAATTGGAGTTACAGACCATTGGTAGATGCCATGTGGGTGCTGGGTATTGAACCCGGGTCCTCTGCAAAAGCAACCATTGCTCTAACAGCTGACCCATCTGTCCAGCCCCAGCCTTCCTGCTCTGTTCTGAGTGACCCACCCACATCCTGACACAGGTTAGGTGCCCTGCCACAGGCCCCCCACATAGATCAGCTCCCTTCTCCTCCATAGGCCTTCCTGACCTGGGTGAGGCTGGGCAATACCAGGCTTCACCCCACACTATGACCCCTGTCCAGGCAGGTCGCCCATCTGACCCACCAACTTGGTCCTTAGCAACTGGCTAGGGTCACAACCTGCCCGCTGCTCACCAGGGTTTTCTGAACCACAGAACCTAGAACCTCAGAGCTCAGTTCCCGCTAAGTGTTTGGGGACCCTGGTCAACCTCCGCACCACCCAGCCTCAGCCTTCTGGGACCTGGGCACAACCTGGCTCCCTCACCTGCGGGCCAGGTAGCCCCGTGCTGCGGCCTGGAAAGACACAATGATGTCGGTGACCTTCAGATCTCTCTCCTCTTCCAGTTGGGCCAGTACTCCCGCCCGGAAGAAGATCTTGCTCTGCCCCACACGATACAGGTTGGGGTCCAGCTCCAGAGCCTGGATCTGTGGGGGTTTGAGGAAGAGGAGATGATGGAGGAGGAGGGAGGGGGAGGGACCACTGCGCCTGTCACAGGCCCCTCCCTATAACCATAGGCCCCGCCCCCACTCACCATCTTCTCACAGGCCTGCTTCCCATCCATGAAGCCCTTGGGGATGGCGTTGGGAGTGAGGATCTCATAACTGCAATAGGTCAGAAGGGGAGAGAGATCAAACAGATTAACAAGGGGCTACTACATTTTGGATATTTGTAAGGGGGGATTGGGACAAAGGCTCTCATGCAGCAACCCTCCTGCCTCAGCTCCCTGAGCAGCTGTACATCTAGGACCATACCACTCCATTTTGTGTGTCTGGCTTTGTTAATTTTTTTTTTTTTTGAGTCAGGGTCTCACCATGTGGCCCTGGCTAGCCTGGAACTCACTAAGTAGACCAGGATGGCCTAGATATCACAGCGATCCGCCTGCCTCCACTCCCTGAGTGCTGGGATTAAAGGCCTGCACCACCATCCCCAGTTCGGCTGGTTTTTTGAAGTGAGTTCTGGGGCTCGAACTCGGGGTTCTTCAACAGGGCTATCTCCCGAGCCCTTAACTTTCAATCCCTACAGCCTCCCACCGCAGCTCACCGCTGCCGGAACTCCTGGAACAGGATGCGGTTGGGGAAGCCCTGCCTGCAGATGCGGATGCCCTCGAGGACGCCGTTACAGCGGAGCTGGTCCAGCACCAACTTGGGCTCCAGCTTCCCAGCCTGTGAAGACAGACGGACACGATCAGCGGTGGCCACCAGGGGGCACCACACGCAGGGTGCTGTTGCAAGTGCTCTACCCCTGAGTTTGCATCCCCAGCCCCTCACTGGGGGAGTCTAGGCAGGGGCTCCACCGCTGAGCCACACCCGGGCCCCCAGTCCCAGTGATCTTCCAACCCTTATCCTCTCCATGTTTCAACCTTCCTCTGGCCCTTTGTATAAGCGACCCTTTCCTTGGAAAACTCTGATGTGGCACATAGTCCTCACCCTCCTCCAGGTAGGTTTCCCTGACCTCCCTGGCCAGGGCAGAGCCTACCTGACCTTTCCCACTATGAGTCCACCTGGAAGTTCACTTTGGCTGGTTAGTTCAATGTGTGTTTTATTGGGTAACCTGGCTGCCAAGAAACTTGAGCAGTTGACCCTCCCCCACATGCATCAGCTGCTGCATAACTAAGGTTGGCCGGGCCAGGGAGCAAAAGCAAGAGCTCTTTCCCTCTTTCTGTTACTGTGTCCCCAGGTCTTGTCCCTGCCACATAAAGGATGCTCAATAAATTTCAATCATGTAAGTGGACCGATTTTCCAAACAAGGCAGAGTGCTGGGGCGTGGCAGCCACTTGCTCCCAGTCACACAGCGAGGCCCTCAGACCCCATCCCCCTTGCCCCAGGCTGTGCACTCACCCTCTTCTCGTGATTGGGGACGATGCACCGAACAAAACTGGGGTTGGTGTTACTGAGTGTGGCCATGAGGCGGCTCAGGGATTCCTTATAGAGCTGCCCCACCGTCCGGAACATTCCCCTGCGAGGCCGGCCACCTGGTGGGCCATCTCCAAGGCTGCTGACCTGTTCCAGGCCCACAATGCCCTCCACTGTGTGGGGTGAAAGAGACACAGAGGGGTCAAGATCAGCTTTGGGTTTTGGTATCTTTTTTTTGTAGCCCAGGCTGGACTCAAACTCATGGCCCATCCTCCTGCCTCAGCTCCCTGAGTGCTGGGATTACAGGCGTGAACCACCATGCCCGGCTTCATGGAATCAGCTTTAAGGGGCTGAGCTGGCCAACGTGGAGGGTCTTGCTGTGGATAGGACCTAGCTGCTTCACAGGGGACACTGCCCCCCAACATGGTGGCCATGTCACCTATGACTGACAGAGGGTTAGAAAGGCAGAGACTGAGCGGGGCGTGGTAGTCCACGCCTTTAGTCCCAGCCCTCAGGAGGCAGAGGCAGGTGGAACTCTGAGATCAAGTGCCAGGCCAGCTGGGGCTATAGGCAGAGTCAGGAGTCAGGTAGAGTCTTCATGTGTCCTGCACTGTGAGCCTCCCCAGGTCCAATTGCCTACCCTGCTCCCAGGCTGTCAATCACTGTCAAAACAACAGCTATCATTAAGTTCCTAGAGCACAAGGCAGAGCCAAGGTTCTGGGTTCAAATCCCTGCTCTGCCACTTACTGACTGTGTGACCTTAAGCAAGTCACTTAACTTTTCTGTGTTTTTGTTCTCATTTGAAGAGTAGGCAACTCAGGAAACACTTTTAAGTTTTTATTACATTTGGGGTTGGAGAGATGGCTCAGTGGTTAGAGCACTGTCTGGATGTTTTTGCAGAGGGCCCAGGCTCAACTCCCAGCACCCACATGGCAGCTAACAACTGTCCATAACTCCAGTTCCAAGGGATCTGACGCCCTCTTCTGTCCTCTGCTGGCATTGCACACATGGTGCACTTCTACACATGCAGGCAATGCACTCATACACATAAGACAAAAATGGTATTAAAAGAAATTTACTACATTTACTTGCATGTGTGTGCCCCGCCACAAACCATGTGTGGAGGTCAGAGGATGACGTGCAGAAGTCATTTCTCTCCCTCCACCACCATGTGCGTCCTGGGGATCAAACTCAATCTCCTTTGTCTGCTAAGCTATCTTGCCAACCCCCCCTTTTAAATTTTTAATACACAGTTTAATTAGAAGATTCTAGAAATGCCCAGCAGGGAGGGAGAGAGAGGGAGAGGCCCCCACACAGGGAGGAGTGGGGACAGACAGTCTCACGCAGCCCCCTCCCCTGTGTCTTACAGCCTCACCCATGGGTGACAGACACCCACCCCGGTGGAGAAGGCAGCAGCGTTGCATCTACCTGCAGGCCCGGGGGGAGGCAGTGGGGAACAGTCAAGGGAAGAGAAGTGCCGGATGCCCCCTTGTTCTGGGGAGGGAGGGCAGATGAGGGGTAGGGGAGATGGCGGGAAAGATGTGTGAAAATGGGAAGGGTTGATGCGAGAAAGAGAAAGAAAGGGTTAGTCAGCACGGAGCAAGCAGGCAGGAATGTTGCCCTTGAACCTTTTCAGGTCCCATTTATCCTTATATCCACCCGAGGCCCTCTGAGAATTTAGTACAAGAGGAAAAAAAATGTCTCCTTAGGAGCTGGGTCTGGATCTGCTTTATTAGCTAACCCTCTTTGCCCTAGATGCCAGGAGGCTCAAGAACTAACCTGATGCTTTTGCTGTAGGAGAGCTAACCTCATTTGCCTTCCCCCTGGCTGCTGGGTGCAGCTCGGCATGCCAGGATGCAGGGTGCCCAGCTCTGAGATCAAGGCAGCCTCAGTTGGGATGGACAAGAATGGCCAATTCCCTGCCCTTCTCTCCCCCCGTTCCTTTGCCTGTGTGTAGTACTGTGGGACAGCCTTGTGAGCAGCTGTGTGTAGAACTGTGGAGGAGACAACAGTGGGCCAGCTCCAAGCCAGACCCGGGAGGCTCTGCAGCCTCCATTTCCCCACAGCCAGGAACATGGAGGATGGACCAGAAAAGGGTCATGTGTCTATAAATTATGCAGTTTTTTTTTCAAAGATTGAGGGGTTAGAGAGATGGCTCAGTGGTTAAGAGCACTGGCTGCTCTTGCAGAGGACCTGGGTTCAGTTCTCAGCACCCAGGAGATGACTCACAACCATCTGTATCTCCAGTTCCAGCGGATCTAACACCCTCTTCTGGCCTCTGCAGGCATCCATCCACTCATCTATATATCCATCTTTCCATCCATCTGTGTACCCACCCATTCTCCCTTCATCCTCCTACCCATTCATCCATCCACTTGCCCATCCATCTATCCATCTCCTGACCCAGCCATCCATCCACCCATCCACCCATTCATCCATCTATCCACCCACCCACCATCCATCCACCCATCTATCTATCCACTCACCCACCCATCCACCCACCCATATCCATCTTTCCATCCATCTGTGTACCCACCCATTCTCCCTTCATCCTCCTACCCATTCATCCATCCACTTGCCCATCCATCTATCCATCTCCTGACCCAGCCATCCATCCACCCATCCACCCATTCATCCATCTATCCACCCACCCACCATCCATCCACCCATCTATCTATCCACTCACCCACCCATCCACCCACCCATCCATCCACCCATCCATCCATCCACCCACCTACCCATCCACCCACCCACCCACCATCTGTCAATCCTCCTACCCATCCATCCATCCATCCATCCATCCATCCCCACACCAATCCATCCCTCTGTCCTCCATCCATTCATCCATCCATCCATACATCTGTCCATCCATCCATCCATCTGTCCATCCATCCACCCACCCACCCATCCATCCACCTACCCACCCATTCATCCATTCACTTAATCATCCACCTACCCACCCACCCATTCACCCAACCACCCATCCATCCATCCACCCATCCATCCATCCATCTATCCCTTCATCCATCCATCCACTCACCCACCCATCCATCCATCCACCCACTCACCCACCCATCCATCCATTCACCTATCTACTCCTTCATCCATCCACCCATCCACCCATCTACACATCCATCCTTCCATCTGTGCACCCATCCATCCATCTATCCATCCTTCTACTGCCCTACCCTTCCACCCACCCTTCCATCTCTCCCCTCTGCCCTCCCTTAATAGCTGCAAATGCTGCTCCTGACACCATCCATTCTGGGTCTGTACAGACCTCAGCCTCTGTAGCAGGTGCTCTCCTGGGGGTGGGAAGAGGCCTAGCTGCTGGGGCAGACCCTTGGGGGTGGGTCCTCACCATCCTTCCAGATCTCAGCGGTGAGCCGATCCGTGCTCTGGTGCAGCAGGGCCGCCACGCTGTCATTCAACGGGTCCATGTTCTTCATCAGCCACTCATTGGCTTTGTAGTCAACCTGGGTGGAGACCAGCAGGAGTCGACGAGACCGGAGGGCTCCACAGCAAGCCAGACACAGGTGCTCCGGCACTCGGCATGGACTGGAGCGTTGGCACTGCCTTGTGTCCAGGCTCTGGACTGCAGCTCACTGGCAGGGCCAACCCTTGGTCCTTCCTCCACCCCCTGTGGCTCAGTTCTTTGACCTCCACAACCTCTACTTTCTAGGTCACTCCACACTGGCCACCTAGGCCTCCTCAGTCCCTTACACACACAGCCCATTCCCACCACAGGCTTCACCCATGAGGTCCCTGATGGTGGAGCTCCCTCCTGGAGGAAGCCACTGCTGACATGGCCTTGGGCTGTGTGTCAGGTGGCCCCTACTTACCCCATGGACAATTAGCTATCTCTCCACCCCCACTCAGGCCCACGTGCACTATGGCCCGCCCAGCTCTCACCTTGCCTGCATAGTGCAGGACACTGAAGTCGGCCTGATCCCTCAGGTGCCTGGGGCGCTGGAACTTGGGGTGTCCGCCTTGCTCCTGGGCCACCTTCTCCACAAATGACTTATCCGTAGCCTTGGGGAACCAGCACTCCTCGTCCAACAGGGCCAGCAGCCCAGGAGGGTTGGCCTGACAGACGGGAAAGAGGGAGTCAGAGGCCGAGTGCCTCGACAGGTGGCTGATCACTACTCTGCAGCAGCACCGGGGACATGGTGGAGCTTCAGGGGCTCAGCTGGCACGTGCAAGGCCCCGTCCATCACCAGCACTGACAGCCTTCACCACGCCCATGCAGCGGGCAGCCGCCGGCAGGACACTTCCTCTTCCAGCCAGTGGAGGGTGCTGTGGCCGGCAGGGGTGGGGGACAGGACAGGTCTCCCGCAAGTGCTCATGGCTGAGTGGGGCGGTTCTAGGTAGCGGATGGTGCTGATGGGGCAGCCTCGGTAGTGGGCAGGATTGATGGGGTGGGTCTGGGCAGTGGATGGGTCTGATGTGGTACATCTGGGTAGTGGATGGGGCTGAAGAGAATGGTCTGGGTAGTGCATGGTGCTTATAGAGAGGGTCTGAGTGGGCAGGGCCAAGTGGGGCAGTTGTGGGTAGTGGGCGGGGCTGATGAGGTGGGGCAGGGTACTAGATGGTGCTGATGACGCAGCCCGGGTGGCACTGGTGGGGCGGGGCCTGGCAGTGGGCGGGGCTTGCATCCGTCTGCGGGGTGGTCCTGGCGCCTCACCGGGCGCTCGATGAGGTCAATGCAGGGCTGCAGGTCCAGGCCGAAGTCCAGGAAGGTCCAGGGGATGCCCTCGCGCTGGTACTCCTCCTGCTCCAGCACGAACATGGTGTGGTTGAACAGCTGCTGCAGCTTCTCGTTGGTGTAGTTGATGCACAGCTGCTCGAAGGAATTCAGCTGCGGAGGACAGGGCCGTGAGTGGGGCGGAGGGCAGGGGAGGCGAGGGGTGTGTGGAGGAGGGGTGGGCACGAGGAGGGGAGGGGGTCAGGAAGAGGAGGGTACGTCAAGGGGGAGGGGAGAGAAGTGGAGGCTAGGCCGAGGGGAGGGGAGAGGGAAGGGAGAGGGAGGAAAGGGCAGGGGAGGGAAGAAGAGGCGAGGCCGAGGGGAGGGGAAGGTGGAGGGGAGGGCAGGGAAAGGTAGAGGGAAGGGAAGGGGAGGGGAGGGGAGAGAGGGGAGGGCAGGGGTGGCAGAGGGGGCCGCCAGGCCCCGGTCGCACAGACCTGGAAGATCTCGAAGCCCGCGATGTCCAGGATCCCCAGGAACGAGGCGCCCTGGCGCGGGCTGCGGTCCAGAGCGCGGTTGAGCCGCAAAACCAGCCAGCGGAACAGGCGCTCGTAGGTGGCTTTGGCCAGAGCCTCCAGCGCGAAGTCGGCCTGCAGGGCGGGGGCACAGTGAGACCAGCCGGGTGACCTGGGTGCAGGGTAGACCTGGCCTCCAAGCTTGGGGCCCTCGAAGTTCACCTCCCAGCTTCCAAGTATGGCACCACCCGGAACCACATGGCCAGTACAGAAGCCCTAAGGTATGCCAGGCGCCCACCTTCCGCCCCTCTACAGCAAGGGCTTCAGACCCCACAATCCGGGTACAATCCCAGCTCTGCCCCTCGGGCTGTGTGACCTCAGGCCCACGAATAAACCTCTCTGTGCCTCACTTTGTCTTAGACACCTCAGCTGAACCCTGAAGCCAGGGTAGGTGACTGCCAAACCCCTTCCTGCCCCCCATGGTGCCACCTTCCGACCTGTGGTCACCACTGTGGTCTGAGCCACCATCTTGGTGTGGATTTTGACTCCTGAGTCTCCTTGCCTCTGTCTGTGCCCTAAAGAACCAACTCTTGAACGTTTACGTACAGGACAAATGAAATCAGGTCATTTCCCTGAGACCTGGTGGTGCCTGAGACCTTGTGTGATCTGTCCCATGCTAATACTTCTCCCTTCTGTCTTGACACAGCTAAACCTTTTTATTTACCTGTGTATATTCTATATTCTCCATTTTCCTAGGACACTTGAGCCCTCTCTGAGGCTTAAGTTTGTGTGTGTGTGTGTATGTGTGTGTGTGTGTGTGTGTGTGTGTGAGTGAGAGAGAGAGGGAGGGAGGGAGAGAGAGAGAGAGAGAGGACACCAGAGGTAACCTCATGTCTTAGGAACCATCTACCTTATTTTTTTTCTTTTTTTCTTTTTTTTTTTTTTCTTTTTGAGACAGGGTCTCCCTGTAGCCCCAGCTGTCCTGGAACTCATTATGTAGACCAGGCTGGCCTTGAACGCACAGAGATCTGCCTGCCTCTGCCCACCCCCCCTCAGTGCTGGGATAAAAGGTATGCATCACCACATCCAGCTCTATTTATTTTTATTTTACATGTCTAAGTGTTTTGCTTGTGTGTTTATACGTGCACCACATGTGTGCACTCCCCGTGGAGGTCAGAAGAGGGCATCAGATCCTCTGGAACTGGAGTTATGGACAATTGTGAGCTGCCTTGTGGGTGCTGGGAACTGAACCTGGGTCCTCCAGTCCTCTTAACCTCTAAGCCAGCTCTCATAGTTTCTCACTGAAGCAGGAGCTTGCTGACTCACTAGACTGGGCCACCAGTGGGCCCCATGGGTCGTCCTGTCCCCACTTCCCCAGCTTTTTACATGGGTTCTGTGGATGGAACAGATGGAACTCGGATCCTGACACCTGTGAGCCAGCCACTTTACTGACTGAGCCATCTTCCCAGCCCCTGGTCTTTGCTTTTATTCCTGAGCTGGTGATGGGGTAGGAGCCCAGAGAGGCTGCTCAGTGGGAAAGGTGTGGTATAAGGTATTTTAAGACCTGTGGTGGACAGGCAAGAGGGCTTGGCAGGTAAAGGTGCTTGCAGTCAAGACTGATGACCTGAGTTCAATCCCTGGACCCACATAGTGGAAGGAGAGAGGCAACTTGTCCTCTGACATCTGTGTGCTTGCCATGTGGACCTGGGTGACCTCTCCCTCACAGACAACATAAATAAATAAATGCAATAATAGTCATTTAAAAGACCACTGGTCACAATTCAGCTTTTGCTGCCCCTGCACAGCACGGGCCCTGCCTACCTGCTCCTTGGTCTGGGCTTTTTGAACATAGTCTCTGCCAACTTTGATGCGGGGTGTGAGCAGGGCACGGGAGAAGTCAGTCACCCCAAGTCCCAGGAGGCGGCAGAGCTTCTGTGCAGCTGAGGGTAAGGGGGAGAGAGATGGGGTCAGGAGAGCGGAGAGGGCACCGTGCCCCTGGACAGGGCCGATCAGCCTTTTCCAATAGAAATGGTCAGCTTCCTAAACAGGTGTGAAGTTCCCTGACCCAATCCAGGGTCTGTCTGTAGGAGCAGCCGGAATAATCCTGGATGGCTGCCTCCAGGGTGGCAGCAAGCTGGATGCTCAACAGCTGGAGACTGGAAAACAACTGGAATGAAATCCCTTTGGGAAATGCTGAAACATACACGCTTCAAGAGAAATCTTTTCTGAGCGTGGTACTCCTGACCTCTTAACACTCAGGAGACTGAGGCAGGAGGATCAGGAGTTCAAGGTCATCCTCAGCTATGAAATGAATTCAAGCCCAGCCTGGGCCACGGTGAGACCCTGTATCAAATAAACAAACAAACAAACACAACAAAAACAACTCTGCTGAGCACACCTTTGATCCCAGCACTCGGGAGGCAGAAGCAGGCAGATCTCTGTGAGTTCGAGGCCAGCCTGATCTACATAGTGAGACCCTGTCAAAAAAAACTGTTAATATTTCTGTACATATGAACATGTAAAAACTGTTATGTATATGAGTGTATTGCCTACATGTATGTAAGTGCCCCTGTTTCATGGAATGCTCACAAAGGCCAGAAGAGGACATTGGATCCCCTGGAACTGGAGTTACAAATGGTTGTTAGCTGCCATGTGGGTGCTGGGAACCAAACGTGTAACCCCTGAAAGAGCAGCCAGTGCTCTTAACTGCTGAGTCATCTCTCCAGCAAATAACCGGGACTTTAATCCCAGCTCTCAGGAAACAGAGACAGGTGGATCTCCATGAGATGGAGGTGGATCTTGTGTGGTCTACATGGTGAGTCCCAGGCCAGCTGGGGCTGTGGGGAGATGGAGTCTCAGATAAACAACGGGAAGGCAGTGGTGTCAAGGAAACAGCAGGGACTGATGCTGGGGTCGTGTTACAGGGCAGAAGTGGCAGCACATTAAAATTTTGCTTTCTTATTTATTTATTTATTTATTTATTTATTTATTTATTTATTTATTTTTTGGTCTTTTTGAGACAGGGTCTCCCCGTAGCCCCAGCTGGCCTGGAACTCACTATGTAGACCAGGCTGGCCTTGAACTCACACAGATCACCTGCCTCTGCCTCCCGACTGCTGGGATCAAAGGCGTGCGCCAGCTGGGCAGCTTTCTAATCATTTTCTCTGAGGCAGGTCTCGTTCTAACCCACTGACCTGGAACCAACTTACCTGTGGCCCAGGCTGGCCTCAAACTCCAGGTGGTCCTCCTGCCTCAGCCTCCTGGGTGTTGAGATTACTTTAACTATAAATTTATCTAAGGTACATTAAACATCATAGGCAATATACACTTTTTTAAATTTAAAATAAATAAAAAAAATTTTTTTCTTGATTTTTGAGACAGTGTCATGTAGCCCAAGCTGACCTTGAATTCACAGAGGATTCTCCTGCCTCAGTATCTCCAGTGCTGGGACTATAGGTGTGTGCCACTACACTTCCATTTATTATTATTATATTATTATTATTATTATTTAGATAGGGTCTCAATATGTAACCCAAGCTGGCCTTGAACTCCTGCTCCTCCTGCACCAGCCTCCTTAGTGCTGAGATGACAGGCCTGGCTTACTGCTTATTTTTATAAAGAAAAACTGGCACAGAAAAAGTCCTCGACACCAAAACATTGCATAGATGCATGTTTGTGCGGAGCAGGGAGAGGCTGTGTGGGAGGGTGTTTCCCTTTCTGCTCTGAATTAAACCTAGAATCAAAGAGCATTTCCAGGCATCCCTCATCTCTACCAGGGGAACTCAGGGAACCCACACCCCACACACTCAGCTCTGCAGAAGAAGGAAAAAAAAGATGCCTAGAAAGAAACACATTAAAAAGGCTGCACAGTTAGGCATGGTGATGCTCACCTCTCATCCAGCACTCCAGAGACTGAGGCAGGAGAATCATAAGTTCAAGGTTACCCTCAGCTACATAGTGAGTTTGAGGCCAGCCTGGGCTACATGAGAACATGTCTTAAAAAACACACGTTAAAAAAAATCTCTGGCTGGGGGTGGTAGCACACGCCTTTAATCCCAGCACTTGGGAGGCAGAGGCCGGTGGCTGTGTGAGTTTGAGGCCAGCCTGATCTCCATAGTGAATCCAGGCCAGCTAGGGCTACAGGGAGACCCTGTCTCAAAAAGAAAAAAAAAAAAACTCTCTGTAAGTGTTCTAGTTAACTTACATAATTACCCCCTCAACTCATTAAAGGAAAAAAAAGCAGTTTCAATGGTCTGTCCCTATTTACCAAAGGCAGCCGGGGCAGTTCCAGGTTGGTGAACAGTGCCCCTGGTGGCCACGCAGGGTGCTGCAGCATCCTAGACAGGATGGGTCCAGCGCCCCAGTTCCCCAGATTTTCAGAGCTGTGCAGCATTTAAGAATGAGGTGGAGGGTTTTATAACCAGGACAGAAAGCTCTTTGGTGTCCCCTCCCCCTCCTCCAAGGAACAGTTGTGAGGACAGCTCTATTTCTGTCCAGATCTCCAGCCACACAGGACAGGGTAGGGAGAGTCCCTGGATGATGCCCCAGGATTGCATCTTAGGGGTGTGGCTGTGGGACGTTTCCTCTCCTTCCTTGACTCACATTAGCCCTACACTGGGGAGGCTAAGGCAGGAGGACTGCTATGAGTTTAAGGTCAACCTGGGCTACAATGACACGTCTCACGAAATTAAAAACAAAACAAATTTAAAAAACATCCAGCACTCAGGGGGCAGAGGCAGGTGGACCTCTGTGAGTTCCAGGCCAGCCACTGCTACATAGTGAGACCTTGTCTCAAAAAAGGGGGGGCAGGGCCTAGAGAGATGCCCACAGGTTAAGAGCACTGGCTGCTCTTGCAGAGGACCTGAGTTTGGTTCCAGCACCAAAATGGCAGCTCACAACCATCCCTAACTCTAGTCCCAGAGGATCTGATGCCCTCTTCTGGCCTCCATGGGCACTGCATGCATGTGGTACACTTAACATACATGCAGGCAAAACATACACGCACATAAAAATTTAATACATCCTAAAAATAAAAGTAAAAAAGCTATTGAAGCCAGGCATGGTGGCACATGCCTGTCACCCTAGCACTTGGGAGTCTGAGGCACAAGGATCAGGAGTTCAAGTTCACCCTCAGCTACATAGTATGAGGCCAGCCTGGGCTGAAGGAGACCCTGTCTCAAAAAACAAAACAAAACAAACAAAAAACCCACTACAAAATAAACAAAATAACCTCACAAACGAAAGAAAATTAAAGATATTGAAATATTGACTATTATAATTCTGTTTATGAAAGAAAATCAAAGCACAAATATGCTGGGGCCCAAGGCTGGAGGAAAAGCACAGACGGGCACTCTCATAATTTCCCTTTTGGATCAGGGATGTCCTTAACAGGGCCTTTTAGAACTAAGAAAGCCTGCCAAGGGAGACAGCAGAAGGGGAGTTTGCGGGGGGAGGGGGGTCTGGAGGGGACAGTGGGCCAGGGAGAGAGGACTGGTCACTACCTGTGTTGTCCGGCATGGTGGCTTGGTCTGTGTTACGCTCTTTCTTCAGGACGATGTTGCCAAACTGGAGAACAGCTGACACGGTTCGAAGAATGGCTATGGGGCAGAGCAGGAGGCCACACTGGGCTGGAGACCCTGGCGTGTCTCAATCACACAGCTAAAAACCCCCCATCTTAGTTCACTACCCCAGAGCTGAAAGAAAGCCTTCCTCCAAAAACTGGAGAAGCCAACGCATTCCACTCCTCCTGTGTCCAAGATTTATCACCATGCAGCAGGCCTCTGTTGGGCTGTGTCTGTCCCATTAAGAGATATTACACACACACACACACACACACACACACACACACACACACACACACGATGATTAAAAATGAATCAGGCATTGGTTTGGGGTGATGCCTCAGTCAGCAAAGGGTTCTCTTTGCAAGCACAAGGTCCTGAGTTCGAGCCCCAGAGTCCATAAAGAAGCTAAGTGCAGTACCACTGGGAAAACAGAGACAGGAAGATCCCTGGGGCTCACTGGCCAGCCAGTCTAGGGTATTGCTGAGCTCCACAGTCACCGAGAGACCCTGCCTCAGAAAATAAGGGTGGGGAGAGATGGCTCTGCCATTAAGAGCACCAGCTGCTCTTGCAGAGGATCCAGGTTCAGTTCCCAGCACCCACATGGTGGCTAATAACCATCCGTTAACTCCAGTTCCAGGGGATCCGAGGCCCTCTTCTGGCCTCTGAGGGCTTTACAAGCATGTGGAGCACTTACGACAAAACACTCATACACATAAAATAAAAATGAAACATTTTAAAGAAAGTTCATAAAATACTGAGTGGAAACTTCAAGGTACTATGGGGTCCAGGAATTCTGCTATCCAACAGAAGAGGGAGAAGACACCAAGAGAGTGCCATCTACACATGAGACTTGAACCAGAGGCCAGCCTAGTCTACATAGCGAGTTCCAGGCCAGTGAGGACTACACAGTGAGACCCTGTCTCAAAACAAAATCCCCACAGTCTCCAGCAGGCACAGCAACAGTCTGTGTTGGCTGGACTGCTGGCTTTTGCCAGCTATGGGAAGAAAATCAGGGCTGACAGAAGGAGGCACTGTAAACAGGCTGGGCTGGATGACGGCTCAGTGGGTAAAGCGCTTGCTGCGCAACCATGAGGACCTGAGTTCGGATCCCCAGGACCCACTAAAGCCAGACACTGGAATCCCAGTGTGGCTAAGGTGACACACCTGCTCTCAAACACAGAGGAACAGGCATGCACATGCACATACACACACACACACACACACACAACTAGTGAGACGGCTCAGTGGGTAAAGGCACTTGTCACTGTCTCACTTTTCATTCTTTTTTTGTGTGTGTTTTGTTTTTTTGAGACAGGGTCTCCCTGTAGCCCCAGCTGGCCTGGAACTCATATGTAGACCAGGCTGGCCTCAAACTCACAGAGATCTGCCAGAGTGCTGGAATTAATGGTATGTGCCACCATGCCCAGCTCAACTCTTGATTCCTTTTAAAGATTTTTACTTCATTTTATGTATATGAGTATTTTGCTTGAATGTGTATAAGTGCACCCGTGTCACACAATGCCCATGGAGGCCAGAAGAGGGCGCTGGATCTCCTGGAACTGGAGTTACAGACAGTTGTTAACCACCATGTGGGTGCTGGGAACTGAACCTGGATCCTCTGCAAGAGCAGTCAGTGCTCTCACCACTAAGCAATCTCTCCAGACTTGACTCTTGATTCTTATACAGGAGCTGTCTAAGGCCAAGGGTCTTAGAACTCAGGCTGGGTGAGGTCCATCTCTTCTTCTTGGAGCAAACTATAGCTCACCTCACAGGCGTTGTTTTCCTTTTTCAAACACTAGGTGGCAATCCAGCACTGTGCTGGGGCAGTTCACAGGGCCGGTGAAAAAGCCCAGCGCTGGAAAGACAGCTCAGCAGTTAAGAGCACCGGCTGCTCTTACAGAGGACCAGGGTTTGGTTCCCAGCACCCACATGGTGGCTCATAACCATCCATAACTCCAGTTCCTGGAGTCTGACACCCTCTCTGGTCTCCGTGAGCATTGCACGACATGGACGCACTTATATATATATGCAGGCAAAAGACACACAAAATAAAAAGAAATAAAAACCAGGAAAAACCAATCGTGAAGATGGGGAACCCCATGTACCCCAGAAAGGACGGCAGCACACAAAATAGGAGCTAAGACCAGGTTTTTAATCCCAGCACTTGGGAGGCAGAGGCAGGCAGATCTCTGTGAGTTTCTGGGCAGCTGGGGTTACAGGGAGACCCTGTCTCAAAAAGTCAAGCCAAATAAAACCAAACAGAATGGAAGTTAAGACCAGATAGCATCTGTCCTTGACCTTGGCTGTTTTTAGGGCCAAAGTAACCCCACTCTGACTGTGACAAGCACAGTAGTGTGATTGTGTTCAAGGACCCAAAGAACTGCAGGAAATTCCCTGCAGGGGATGAATACCTTAAAATCCTGACACCCAGAGGGGACCTCACCCCAGAATTTATGTATTGCATGGGGGTGTGTGACACAGAACTCCTGTGGTGTTCAGAGCTTGAGGGAGTCAGTGCTTCTACTGTGTGGGTTCCAGGGATCGAACTCAGGTCCTCAGGCAGCAAATACTCACTGAGCCATTTCCTGTCTCTTATCTCATCTTTTCCTTTTTTTTTTTTTTTTTTTTTGACAGGGTCTCATGTAGCAATGGGTGACCTTGAACTCCTGATCCTCCTGCCTCTACCTCCCCTGTGCAGGGATGACAGGCGTACACCACCACACCAGGTTTATGCAGCGCTAGGGATGGAACCCAGGGCTTCACACCTGCATGTCCTCCACCATCTGAACCGCATGCCCAACTCCTAGCTTTTTTTTTTTTTTTTTTGGTAACTGCCTAACCAGACTTCATGTCTCTGACCACAGGAGTCACAAATACCTCTAGGAAGAAAGCGAGCTTGATTTTGCAAATGCCTTTTCTGTGAACAGCCAAGCAGGCTTGGTTGACTTTTCCGAGTGGAGTTCTAGAAGGTATTGTCTAACTGTGGTTGTGTTGCCCCCTGGGGGCCATGTCAGACACTGTGTAAGACCTGCGGGCAGCCACCCAGGCATCTGAGCTCCCAAAATATTGGTCCGTAATTTAATTTTCTGAGTCTAATTAGCAGCTGTTTTATGAATCGTTACACAAGTGTTTTGTGCCTGGATTTCAGGGCAGCCGCCATGGGACCCCAGGGAAGATTGCTGGTTTCCCTAGAGCATCATCATGATGTGGTCACTGTTTCTGGAACATTCTCTGTCCTTTGATGGTGCTGGTGTTGGGGTCAGTGATGGGCTGTGTCAGCTGTGTTTGTGTCTGTTGTTTGTCTCCCAGGCAACACTGGGTCTCTGTCCCCACATCTTGTCCCCTCACCTCTGCCAGCTGTTCCCTCTTCAGTGTTTACCCAGCAGAAGAGACCAGGGTGATTTTCCCTTTCCCTGTGCCACCCCCACTTTTCCAGGTGGACCCTGCTATTTACCATCCCCATGTGACAGATGGGGAAATCAAGGTACACAATCCACATATTCAGGATTACCCAACTCACAAGCAGGTACAGCTGTGGCTCCAGCCTGGGAGCTGTGAGCTTCCCTGACTGTCCAAGAATAAGTTGGAATACAAATAAGTTCTTGCACACAGCACATGGATGGAGACTGGGATGAGAGCCTGTGTGGGAGCTCATGCCTGTCACTCCAGCTACACAGCATGACTGAAGCCAGCCTGGGCTACAGGAGACCCTGCCTCAAAAAACAAACAACAATAACAACAAAAAACATGAAAATTAGGGACAACAGAAGGAGAGAGACAGAGAGACAGAGAGACAGAGATAGACAGAGACAGAGATAGAGAGACAGAGACAGAGAGACAGAGACCGAGAGAGACAGAGACAGAGATAGACAGAGAGACAGAGACAGAGAGAGACAGAGACAGAGACTGAGAGACAGAGAGAGACAGACAAAGACAGAGACTGAGAGACAGAGAGACAGAGACAGAGACACAGAGACAGAGAGACAGAGACAGAGAGAGAGACAGAGACAGAGACAGAGAGACAGAGACAGAACACAAGAGCGGAGGTGAAAATTATACTCCGAAGGTGGAGGAAGCTCCGAGTGGCCCCTGGAAACCAGAAAGACAGAAGGCATTCTCTCAGCCTCCAGCACCGACTTTGGACTTCTGAGACTCTCTGCCTGCTGTTTTAAGCCCCTGCACAATGGCCATGTGTGACAGCAGCCACAGGCAGGAGCCCCTGGCCCGCACTCAGGTGACCACGCCCTCCCTTCCCTTTCCCTCTATTTCCCACTTAGGACGCAGAGGTCTCACCCACCAAGTCCGTACTGTACCCCATGAATCAGTTGGTAAATAAGTGACTCAGATTGACGTGTCGGCACATGTCTGTCTGTCATCCCAGCACTCAGGAGGCTGAGGCAGGAGGATTGCGTTCAGTTCAGAGGCAGCCTGGGATACCTTGTCTTACAAAATGAAATAACGGCAGGTGAGACAGCTCATTGGGCAAAGGCATCTGCCTCCAAGTCTCCTGACCTGAGTTCAATTCCCAGGACTCACGTGGTGAAAGACGAGCACCCACTCCTACAAGTCACCCTCGCACCCCACCTGCACACTGTGGCATGTACAGAAGCATATACAGAAACACTAAATAAATAAAAAACGTAAAAAAGAATAAAAACAAAACAAAAAGTGGCAGCTATTTAAACGGGGGCCCGGTACTGAAGGGTAGAATTTTCTGGGTGTCATCTGGGTCTCAGTTTCCCCAGCTGGGCAATAGAAGATAGCCCCACCCATAACAGATGATGGATGGGGGTGGGGTGAGGCAGAGACCCATAGAATTTCAGGAATTTGAGTTTTCTAAGTGACAGGAGTCACTTGACCCACAGTCCCTGAAGTGTTTGCAGAGCTGAGGCTGGTACACCTCCAGGAAGGAAATCCCTGGCCTGGACTGAGTGGTTAAAGGACCTGAATCAAGCAGGCCATGAGGGTCTCTCAGGACTGGTTCTGGGAGGACCTGTCTACAGGATCAGGTGCTGCTGAGACCAGGCAGGGCA